TACCAAGGTTATTGTGGCCTCATAAAAAGAGTTTGGCAATGAACCTTCTGTTTCTATCTTGTGGAACAGTTTGAGGAGTAGTGGTATTAGTTCTTTCTTGAATGTCTGGTAGAATTCTGCATCAAATCCATCTGGCCCTGGACTTTTTTTGGTTGGAAGGCTTTCAATGACTGCTTCTATTTCGTTGCGGGTTATAGGTCTATTTAAGTTGTTTGTCTGTTCTTGATTTAATTTTGGTAAGTGATAGTTATCCAGAAATTTGTCCATTTCCTTTGAATTTTCAATTTTTTGTGGAATACAGATTTTCAAAATATGACCTGAAAATTGTCTGGATTTCCTCTGTGTCTGTTGTTATGTTCCCCTTTTCGTTTCTGATTTTGTTAATTTGCATGTTCTCTCTCTGCTTTTTCGTTAATTTGGATAAAGGTTTGTCTATTTTGTTGATTTTCTCAAAAAACCAAGTCTTTGTTGCATTGATTTTGTGGTATTGTTTTCCTTGTTTCTATTTTGTTGATTTCAGCCCTCAAGTTGATTATTTTCTGGCGTCTACTCCTACGGGGTAAATTCGCTTCTCTCTGTTTTAAGGCTTACAATTGCGCTGTTAATTCTCTTATGTGACTATCCTCTGTTTTCTTCATATGGGCACTTAGTGCAATGAACTTCCCTCATAGCACTGCTTTCAAGGTGTCCCATAAGTTCGGGTATGTTGTATCCTCATTCTCATTGAATATTAGAAAGTCCTTAATTTCTTTCTTTATTTCTTCTTTGACCCAGGAGTGGTGCAATTGCACGTTGTTCAGTTTCCATGAGTTTGCAGGTTTTCTGCTATTTGTGTTGTTGTTGAATTCCAATTTTAAAGCATGGTGGTCCAATAAGATACAGGGGACTATTCCTATTCTCTTGTATCTGTTGAGGTTTGTTATGTCACCTAGTATGTGGTCGATTTTAGAGAAGGTTCCATGTGGAGCAGAGAAGAAGGTATATTCTTTTGTCTTTGGATGGAATGTTCTATAGATGTCTGTTAACCCCAGTTGAGACATAACTTCTGTTAATTCTTTTGTTTCTTTGTTGAGTTTCTGATTTGTGGTCCTGTCTAGTGTTGAGAGTGGTGTATTGAAGTCTCCCACTATAAGTGTGTGAGGTTTTATATGAGCTTTGAGTTTTAGTAGTGTTTCTTTTACGAATGTGGGTGACTTTGTATTAGGGGCATAGATGTTCAGAATTGAGACTTTGTATTGATGGATTTCTCCTGAGATGAATATGAAATGACCGTCTTCATCTCTTTTGACTAATTTTGGTTTGAAGTCTAACTTGTTAGATATTAGGATAGCTACGCCTGCTTGCTTCTTATTTCCATTTGATTGGAAAATCTTTTCCCAACCCTTTACCCTGAGGTAATGTCTATCTTTGAAGCTTAGATGTGTTTCTTGTATGCAGCAGAAGGATGGATTCTGTCTTCGTATCCATTCTGTTAGTCTGTGTCTTTTTATAGGTGAGTTAAGACCATTAATGTTGAGGGTGAGTAAGGACCATTGATTTTGATACTTGTTTGATTTAGGTTTGTTGTTGGCAGTGGTATTGTGAATATTTTAGTTCTGCTTTACCCTTGGTTTCTGGTATAGTTGGATTATCTGTTGCCTACATTTTTGTGGGCGTAGTTACCTTCCTTGGGTTGGAGTTTTCCTTCCAATACTTTCTGTAGGGCTGGATTTATAGATACATATTGGGAAAATCTGGTTTTGTCATTAAATATCTTGTTCTCTCCATCTATATTGATTGAGAGTTTTGCTGGATATAGTAGCCTGGGCTGGCATCCGTGTTCTCTTAATACTTTTAGAACATCTATCCAGGCCCTCAAGGCCAGAAGGGTTTCCATGGAGAAGTCAGGTGTAATTTTGATAGGTCTGCCTTTATATGCTACCTGTCCTTTTTTCTTCGCTGCTCTTAATATTCTTTCTTTATTCTGTATGCTAGGTGTTTTGATTATTATCTGTCGAGGGGTCTTTTTTCTTTGGTCCAGCCTATTTGGGGTTCAGTATGCTTCTTGTACTTTCATGGGCATGTCCTTCTTCAGATTTGGAAAGTTTTCCTCGATGATTTTGTTGAATATGTTTTTGGCACCTTTGAGCTGGGCTTCCTCACCTTCCTCTATGCCTATTATTCTTAGGTTTGGCCTTTACATGGTGTCCCACATTTCCTGGATGTTTTGTGTTAAGGATTTGTTGGATTTATGATTTTCTTTTGTCGATGAATCTATTTCTTCTAGTTTATCTTCTGCGCTTGAGATTCTCTCTTCCATCTCTTGAATTCTGTTGGTTATGCTTGTGTCTGTAGTTGCTAATTTTTTGCCCAGTTTTTCTATTTCCAGCATTCCTTCAGTTTGTGTTGCCTTTATTTTCTCTATTTCAGTTTTCAAGTCTTGAACTGTTTCCTTCACCTGCTTAATTGTTTTTTTCTTGGCTTTCTGTACTTTCCTTAAGGAATTTGTTCATTTCTTCCATTTTTTTGTTTGTTTTTTCCTCCATTTCTTTAAGGGTTTTCTCACATCTTCTTTGAGGGCCTCTATCATTTTTATGATGGTAATTTTTAAGTCGTTCCCTTCTGCTTCCTCTGCTTTGTTGTTGTGTTCCGTTCTAGTTGGTGTAGATTCCCTAGATTCTGGTGGTGTCATGCTTGTCTTTCTGCAAGGTGTTTTCTTCTTCCCATAGCTTCTTCCAGTAGGTGTTTGTGGGGTCTCCCCCTCTCTCTATGGTACTTCCCTGGTGGACTTATGTGGGTCTGAGATTCAATATCTGTAGCTCTGTGTGGTCCAAGCTCTCTAGGAGGTCTCTCCGTGGATAGGGACCCAGGGATGGGGTCAAGGATGAGAATCCAGTAGAAGATGCCAGCAGGAACTCACAGTGGTCTCGCAGAGATAGGCGGATCTCTGGGAGGGGCCCGGGACTCCAGCAGAGGACTGGAGGTGGGGTCAGAGACCAAGCAGGTGGAAATTACTGTTGGTCCCGCGTGGATAGTCAGGTCTCCTTTGTTCAGAGTTGCTCCAAGAACTCTCCGAAGTAGGGTGGACTGTTGGCTCCACCCTCTGTCCCAGTGCTCAACCAGAGTGGCAGGACCGTGGGTAGGGTAGGGCACAGGGTAGGGGGGATAGGCTCGCGGTGGGGATGGGTGGGGGTGTATCAGAGCTCCAAGGGTGCTTTCGATGGGGACAGGAGACAGGAGCAGCAGGATCAGGGGCCAACCCAGGGAGTTCGGGGGAGGGGGGAGAGGTTGTAGGGGACAGGCAGCCCCGATTGGGCCCAGACTCACCTCTGGCCAATAGCTGGCAGAAGAGGACAAAGGCTGAGCTGAAACTTGGGAAGGTTTTGCAGGATAGTCGGATCTCACTGGAAACTGGAACTCTCCAGCTGAGGCCTCTTTCTTTAGCAGAGGCCCAGATTTGGGGGTCAAGGATCTTGCCCGCAGGAACTCAGAGTCGATTTGACTACTTTTAACCCTAGTCAGAAACCAACAATTAAGTTAAAATTCTAATTTCTTAGAGTTTATTGAATATATACTATATAAACCAGCAGTGATCTCCTACATGGAATGGCTAAAGTGGGTGTCAGAAAACTACTTCACTAACAGAACCAGTAACCTTCAGAAAATATTCTGAGTGCAGCACAATTATATTATTATCATCATCATCATCATCATCATATATTATATATTATTATTATTATTAGGGATATATTCCTCTATGTGACCTACCTGCATAATTATTGCTCATCTTTTAAAATACTTATAGTCATTATTTACCTCTGTAGAGTGTCTGTGATATCTCTGACAGTTACTTGTTTCCTCCATTTACTTTGTACTTGTTCGGATACTTTAATTATTGTTCATGTCATTCCCTTGTATCTATACACATAATTTCCTTCCTGTAACTAGTGACTGTTAGATGACATGCTCTCAAGAAATATGTTTAACTTTTAGCCCTTAAATAGATGAGACAGAGAAGGTATTTTTCTGTGACCTCACAGTGAACTATTTCACTGGGTGGGATCCAGGCTCTATTTTTCAGGGGCCTTTGGAGTATAGTAGTTGCCAAGGCAAGAAACTATGGACTTCATGGAGACCCAGTCAGGGACCCAGGAGGTGGCTTCAGACCTGTGTCTACTCTCACCTGTTGTTAATTATCCCAGGGAGAAGAGAGCTCATCATATGTTCTCTCAGAGAGTGACAAATTAAAGCCATTTACAGAGGACTACAGCTGGTAATTTCTGGATTTAATGCATTTGATTCTCCATGGAGAAAATAGGAAAATTAGAACACAAACTCACCAAAGAAGCATCCCCTGGTTATAGAAGCATTTACTGAAGAGCATCTGCTTGTTGTTTACTTAGGAATTGATGGGTTCTAGTAGACTTGAGCATGGCAAACATGGCTCTGGCAGGACTGGTCCTTCTCTCATTTCCTCTGCCATGCTAAAAACTGTTAGGTTACATCCCTAAAGGTAGTCACCAAGGTCTGTCCCCTTATTTGGCCACTTCCTCCTCCTGAGGCTGACCACCAAGCTCCATCTATCAAAGCATTGAAGTCCATCAATCAAAAGCTCCCTTTTGGCTACCCTAATTAACATACTCAAACAAAACAAATCAACTCATCCTAACATGGGGTTTCCCATTTTACCTTCATAAATTGCCATTTGCCTCTGGGCCTCATCTCTCTATCCAGAGGCAGTCCTTTGTCCCTCAGTACATATATCCCTGCCCCCCCTCCCTTGTTCCTTTCCTTTTCCCCTTTGTCCTCTATGCCCCCCCCCTTTGTGTCTTAGTCCCCGCCCTCTGTCTCCTTTGTGCTGAGAACTTGGTCTTGGGATGCTTTGTGCCAGTTCCAGTCCTTTCAGGAATGAGTTTTCAAGGTTCTCCGGTAGATGATGGACAAAAAGAGGTAGATTTTATAATTTAGTATTGAAACAATGATACCACAGATAGTTTATATTTTTCCCTCCACTTTTTTAGGTATCTCCAAAGTTCTTCCAAATTTGATTATTTCTCTGGACTTGTGTTCTTACAAGATAGAAAACATCCTAGAGTTTTCTAGTATGCCCCAAGAAGAGTGGGTTGAAATAGATGAAAAAATCAGTGAAATGAAGTACCAGTTGGACACATTGTTGAACATTATTGGTACTGTTCCACAATACATGGACATGGATTCTGGCGCGTAAGTTCCCGGGCTCCTCTTTTTGGGGAGGATATTTTCAAAGCTCTAAAGCAACAATTCAGTAGTTTTAGTGTATTTATAGATGTGGGCAACTGTTGCTAATTTTAAAATAATTTTTCACTCTTCTAAAAAAGAAGCTTTGCTTGTGATGGTGAAACAGAATTTCTGTTAACTGTCACAAACTACCAGTGGCTAGACTCCTTATTCAGGAAAGAGGTTTATTTTTATTTACAGCTTTGCAAGTTGAAAGTCTAAATAGCATGGTGCTGAGTCTGTTGAGGGCTCATACCAAATGACACCATGGTGACAATGAATGTAGGAGGGAGGGAATCACATGGCAAGTTAGAGGGATCTATCTCATTCTTTTCCAGCAACTCCTTCCTGTAGGAACTCCCTAGAATCTCCTGAGAGTGCCACAGTGAATTACCTCCTAGTAGGCCATTTCCCTTAAAAGTTTAGTGACCATTCAAAAAGCCTAGCTTTCCAAAACATGAACCCTTGGGGGGAAAAAAAACACATATAACCCACATATAACCATTTAGCTTATACCCCCTCTCCTCACCTACAGCCCTAATCAACCACTAATATGCTTCCAACTCTCTGCATTTTCCCATTATAAACAGTTAAGAATGCTGTCTGCAAAAATAATCACTATTAAATGTAGGCCCACTATCAAAATACAATGATATTAAAAGAAAAGTCATCTTATAAGTGCCAATTGCTTTAGGAGGGAGTATTAATAGTATTGTATAATTGATTAATATTAATTACTGTATTTGGGAGTGGAAAGGAAAAAGAAAGAAAGAAAAGAAAGACCCTCCCCAGGGTAAGACCAGTAGCTGGTATTGGGGAGACAGAGGAAAGGGAGAGAAAGGAGACATGGAGGGGAGAACTGTAGGGGCAGGCGAGGGGGATGAGGCCATTTTGGCTGAGGGTTGGTTGATAATAAAGAAGTATGGTGAGGTAAGGATACTTTTAGCTCTCATAAGTCTGAGACAAAGGGATGCCCCAGACTTGGTGTTCTTTAGGAGAGGAAAATGAAAAAGAATGGTAGAGGGTGTCTTAGTCACTGTTGTGTTGCTGTGAAGAGACACCATAACCACAGCAACTCTTATAAAAGGAAGCATTTAATTGGGGCTCACTTGGAATTTCAGAGGTTTAGTCCATTATCATCATCGTGTGGAGCATGGCAGCTAGCATGGTGCTGGAGTAGATGAGATCCTGATCTATAGGTAGAGTCGAAGACATTGGGCTTGGCATGGGCCTTTGACACCTCAGTGACTAACCCCAGTGACACATTTCCTTCAGCAAGGCCACCCCTCCTAATCCTTTCATTCCCTGGAGACTAATCATTCAAATATATGAGCATGTGAGGACCATTCTTATTCAAACCACGGGGGTGGGGGGAAGTACAGCCCAATAACAGAGAAGGGCAGAGTTGGCTAATTTAACTGATACTGTGTATTAACTAAAGGGATAACTGAAGGGGAGAGAGCTGGGTGAGAGCACACACTATGAAGGCAGTCTGTCTTGCCTGGGGTTTCTGAGCCTCTGTCCTTCCCAGGAGCCTGCTGAACCTCTGAACAGGCTTCTTTTCACTTGGACTCTCTCCTTTGGGAGACAAGATTACAGATGTGGTCTTGCCAGTGGTGGCTTCTCAGATGTCCTGGAGGATACCCTTGTGCAATCATTCTGTCCTCAGACATCCTGGTTCTAGCTTGGATTGAAGCTGCCCTGCAGGCTTCGGTTCTGGGGGAGTTCCTACCTTGCCAATTACCAGTCCAAAGAAAGACCTTTCTCCACCTAGCAGTGTCTTGCTGAATTTCCACAGAGGGACCTAGGCTGTTGGTTGGGTGACCAGGGCTTTGTGAAATGGCATCCACAGCTATACCAGCCCTACAAAATGCTGGCAACTCCTTCTGCAGGCACCCTTCATGCAACCTCTCTATGGATTCTCTCTCCTCTGTTCTCCAGTGTCCATTGCTGGGAACACTGGGCAGATTTTCTGAGCTTATATTGAACCATGTCTCCCACATCTGGGTTAGCCCTCCTTATTGAGAGCCAGTCTCTCCAGGACAGATCCTGGTATTTCTCTCCTGCTTTTTCTCACTATTAATTCTAAAAATGTGTAGGCATCAGCTACTTTGTCTAGTAGCAATTAAACACTTTTTCCCTAGTATGTTCCCCGAAGGGTCTGGCAGACCCTGCCTGCATAGCTGAATCCCAAAGGCTCTACTACTTCTTTTAGGAATGATTTTACTTTCATTTTATATGCATGGGTGTTTTGCCTGCATGTATGTCTGTGTGCCTGGTGTCTACAGAAGTCAGAAAACTGGGCCAACCCTCAGGAACTGGAGTTGCAAATGGTTGTGAGCTATCATGTGGGTGCTGGGAATTGATCCTGGGTCCCCTAGGAGAGCAGCAAGTAATAGCAGAGCATCTCTTCAGTCCCAGGTTCTACTGACTTTTAATGTTACTACATGGAACTTTGCTTCTGACACAGTGACCACTGAGGGCACATTCAAACCACATCTGAACTACAACCATATTCCCCATCCTTTGTTTCCAAAAGTCTGCACTGTGTTTCCTCTCTGATTTCTCAATGTAGTCACTGAACTTCACCTCCGTTTTTCTTGGTAATTCTAGCTAAACACTTTTAATTGTGTTGGTTAGTTTTTTGTCAACACTATACAAACTAGATTCATTTTTGGAAGAGGGACTCTCAATTGAGAAAATGCCTCCTTGAGATGGCTTGTAGCAAGTCTGTATAATGCATTTTCTTGATTGACATGGTTCGCTCAGGGAAGCAAGCCAGTGGCCTAGGCTTTGGTTCCTGCCTCCAGATTCCTGCCTTGAATTCTTGGCCTGCCTTCCCTGGATGATGGACTACAAACAACTATAACTGAAATAAACTCTCCTCTCCAACTTGCTTTTGGTCATGATATTTTATTGCAATGATAGAAAGCCTAACTAACACATCCTTTCCAAAAAAACTACCTTTTGGGTTAATCGATTTTCTTCAGAGTCTTTCTGTGCTCTGTGGTATTGATTTGTATTATAATTGTCATGATTTACTTCATTTTGCCTTTTATTTTATTATCATTTAGTATGGTACCTCCCTCCCCCCATAACCTTGCATACATTAGCCAAGCATCTTGTATGTCACTTAGTGAGTCCTCTCAGCCCTTCCCACAGTCTTAAGGTGAATCTTTGGGTCATGGATTTGAGACCCTTGTTGTTTCTTAATATTTGAAGCTATCAATTCCCATTTAAGGACTTCTGAGTTATGGTATGGTGTCTCTTTACTCGAATTAACCTTGAAGTACTTAATGATTAATCTTGATATTTATCGCCTATTTGTCACTTAAATTTCACATGTTTGGGACTGGAGAGATGGCTCAGAGGTTAAGAAAACTGACTGCTCTTCCAAAGGTCCTGAGTACAATTCCCGGCATCCACATGGTGGCTCACAGCCATCTGTAATGAGATCTGGTGCCCTCCTCTGGCCTGCAGGCATACATGTAGACAGTGGCAGACAGAACACTGTATACATAATAAATAAATATTTTTTTTAAAAAGCTTAAAAAAATACACGTTTGAGTTTCCCAATTCTTCCCATTCGTTGACTGTTATTTCATTCAGTTGTGTTGCGTTACTTTGATCTTTAAGTGAATTGAGGTTTGCTTTGTCAAGCAGTGTCTCCATACTGGGAACTTCTAGCATTTTCACTGTGATGTATCTGTTTATGGACCCCTGTGTTTATTCTGCCTAGAGACTGTTGAATCTTCTGTGTTATTATTTTTCCATATATTTGGGTCATTTTCAGCCATTGTTTGAATTTTTTTCTTTGTTATCATTTCTGGAAGCTTTCAATAGTCTACTTTTTAGAGTTAACTCTCATTGTTTTCATTGGGGAGTGGGTCATGCTGGAAGCCAATCACTGAGAGGATTTTAAAATTAATTAGCATTGCACAAGAACTTCCTCCTAGCCCAGGAGTGAACAGTTTATAGTGCACAGAGAAGTTTTCAGGTAGCATGTACACTGTCTCAAGTGCATCATGTTAATTGACATCTGTTTAGGATGGGAAAGCTATCTCAACCTAACCAGTATATTAGTAGTTCAAGGCTTTGAATCACTTTTGCCTAAGTTCTTAAAAACTTCTCAGCATTCAAACTTACCATGCCCTGCTCTCTCCTCACTGGCAGTGACTTGTATATTCTACTCAAGTGTCTTGGGTTTATTTTGCCTGCTTTTTTTTTCTGCAGGACACTCCAAGGACATATATTTGACATGATCCAACAATGGCTTTTGAAGATAGGCAATGAAATCACCAATGGTAACATTGAGCTTCTTCGACATGTATGTATTTGTATGGTTTTGCAGAGTTCTGCTTTGCTTTGGTTGGGGGATTCTCTTCAAGGAAAAGCGGGGGTCCAATTGAATCAGTAGTGGGAAGCATGAACCAGAAGCTTACATGGTAATTATTCAAATGACTTTCAATGGAAAATGGGGATGTTTATTAGAGTGGGCATCACATGATAGGACTCAATATTTGTCTAATGACTTGAGGAAGAACATTCTAGCACTGTTAGTGTCTCATGGCATTGCTATAGCAACCCTTTTTGCAAAATGCTCAATTTACCCTCAGGAATTTAGATCCATGGAATCATATATTTGTTTTCTTTTGCATTCTAGAATTCATCCTTTGTCATAGAAGCATTTGGGAATGCCCTTAATGTACTTCTTTTTTAACCCTGAGTACTGAAAGGTAGTTAGTCCATGTAGGGGATATAAGAGCCTGGAAATGCCTCTGGGAACTATGTACTCGAGTGTTTGGAAGTGGAAGAGTTTGTCCTTCTGTCCATAAGCTATGCATTTTGCTTCCTAATCCATTTCCCACCACCACTTCTTGCTGTTTCCCCTTTACCCCCTTGTTGCATTTGGTCTGTGCTATTTGCCTGTCTACAACATTGGTTTGTAAACTTTATTATTTTTTCTTTTCCCCGTATGTGTTGTGTGTGCATCTGTATGTATGCATGTTTTCAAGTACATGTATAAGCATATGTGTAGAGGTCACAGGTTGATGGTGGATGTCTTCCTTAGTCTCTATTTGCTGTGGAGTATTCTCTCACAGAACTGGGAGCTCAAAGATTCAGTCACCAACTCAGCTAGTCTATCTAGCCATCTTGCCCTGGATCCCATTTCTACCTTCTGAGCATTGGGGTACAGGCAGGCCACCATTGCCTGCCCAGGTTTTACCCGGGTCTTGAGCAGCAAGTGCTTTAATCTGTAATCCTCTTAGCAAGAAAAATTTGAGGAAAAAGTTATTTCTAACGTCATTACTAATTTGCACATCAGAATTTCTAAAATGCTTTCTGTTATAAAACATATGCAAAAGTCAAAACAGATGTTTTTAAAAACTCAATACTTTAAAATAAGTTTGAAATGGCTCAAGACACGATGTGATCTGACAGGTCCATCATTATGCTTCTTACGAATTTATAGCTGCAGGTGCAGTTCACAATAAAGCCTCTAGGGGTTGCCCCAGAGCTTACCTTTCTTTGATACTTTTTTTTTTTTTTTGCTGAAACCATAGCTCACAGAGACAGATCTGAAGTGAAGCTCATTGTTATTTGTGTTTGTTTCACGATGGCGCTCATTTCTGTGAATTATGCAGTGGGCTCTTTGCCACCCTCCACCATGTCCGTTAGCAAAGAGTAGCCAGAGTAGTATTTCTGTAATTGATGATAGCATCTCAGTTCATTGAATCATGTTTTGTTTGTAAGGTTTTATAACAGATTAGAAAATTACTTTCAGGAGTTGTGTAAAGATGTAATCCAGAGGGGTATGGTACACCTGTAATCCCAGCATTTGAGAAACTGAGGGAGGAAATGACTGTCACCATCAGTTTGAAGCCACTCAGTGCTACATAGTGGATTCCAGGAAAGGCTAGCTTACAAAGTAAAACACAGTCTAAACACACACACACACACACACACCAGTAAGCCTGGTCTGTTGGTCTATGATCATTTTCAGCAACCAATTCACATTGAGATGGAGCTGCAAACAGCTATGGATTAACAAAATAACCTCTCTTATTTATTTTTATTATTATTTATTATTACATTACACACACACACACACACACACACACACACACACACACACACACACACACACACACACAATTTTATTTTCCATGCTGAGAACTAAAACAGGACCTTGTATGTGCCAGGTCTCTACCACTGAGCTATACACCAAACTCTCCCTTATTTTCTGAAGGGACAAATTAAGTATCCTTTTAAAAATGAGTTAATTAATGATTATTATTTTGAGATGGGGGCTTGTTACATAGCTCTGGCAGGCCTTGAGTTTGTGTGTAGCCCAGGATGACCTCTAGCTGCTGATCCTCCTCCTATAGTCTTCAGAGTGTTGCCTTTCACGCCTGTTCCACCCCATCCTTCTCTATTTATTTACTTACATTTATTTAGCTAAGAAATTATCAAATAGCCCCTTGTTTTCAAAGAGACTAATGTAACTGGAGGAAGTCAATTCTTGTAGTTGAATTTTTTTTTTTTTACTCTTTGGGAGCCCTTTACCCAGCTCCCAAATAAATACACACAGAGAGTTATTCTTACTTATGAATGCCTGGCCTTAGCTTGGCTTGTTTCTAGCCAGCTTTTCTAACTTAAAGTTTCTCTTTAACCACACTTTGCTCTGGACTTTTTACCTTTGTTTATTTTATATATTTTTCTTTCCTTCTTACCCCATGGCTAGCTTTGAGGCTGGGTGGGTGGCCCCTGGCATCCTCTTCTCTTTCTCTTTTTCCTGATCCTCCCTTCTCTTCTTCCTTTTGAGATTTCTCCTCTTATTTATTCTCTCTGCCTGGAAGCCCTGCCTATCCTTTTCTCCTGCCTAGCCATTCTGATCTTTATTAGACTAATCAGGTAATTTAGATAGGCAAATTAACACAGTTTAAATAATTAAATGTGACACAAACGAATGCAACACATCTTTGCATTATTAAATGTTCCACAGCATGAAGGAATAACACATCTTAAACTAACATTCCACAACATGGCTCATAAAGGAAAAACACTCTTCGGTGACCTCTGTGTTGAGAACTCTGAGTCAGAATCTTAGCCAATCTGTTTCAGTACAACAATGATAATATTCATTTTCTATTTGTTAAAAATCAAGGAAATAAGTAATAATTTTTTGACTTTTTGTTTCATTCTTAAAATCACCTGTAATTAATTGCTTGAACTTGATTCTGCTATTTAATTTCTATCATGTAACTTGGAATAGTATCTATTTATGTTGATTTCATAGGGAGTTTCAAAGATGGATTTATGTTTTAGGTAAGCAAAACTGAACTATTCCAGTGGCAGAATAGGTCAGGCCATTGGAATGTGACAGAGCTGTTAGGAATGCATTTACCTCTGAGAAACAGGAGCAGGTGGAATGGGGTAAGAGAGGTGGCAGCCTTTTTAACTTTTCCTCAGGCAGACTACCCTTTCTCCTGATGCATTAATTTAAGTGTGAAATACACATTAGCCAACACGGCTTTAGGTAATTCACAGCCTTTTCCCTTCTGATTAAGAGTCAGGAAGCTGGATAGACCACCATGTTTTATTTATTTACATTTTATCCATTCAACAACATGGGGTACCTGTTCGCTACTAAAGCATTAGGGATAAACACAGTGGCTCATGCCTTAAAGAGACATCCAGGCCAAATGAGTAGACAGAGGTGTAAGTGAACCACAGTATAGATATTTAGAAAGTCCTGTAGCATCTTGGGAAAAGGAAGAACTTGAAGCCAGTGAAAATTAAAATCTTAGGATCTGGGGAGATGGCTCAGTGATTGAGAGAGCTTGCTGGGCTTGCAGAGGGCCAGAGTTTGATTTGATTTCCAGCACCCACACTGGTCAGCTCACAATGGCCTGTAACTCCAAATTAGGGGTGGGGGTTGTCCAAAGATGGCTTCTGGCCTCCAAGGGTACCTCACCTCCATGCATATGCATGTATACACATACACATAAAAATAAGATAGATCTTTAAAAAAAAAAAGTAGAGTCCAGATAGATGATATATAAGCCAAGGGAAAACTGGAAGCTTGCTAACCTGAGCAAGGGAGTGGGTATTTGAGTATGTTGCCTTGGTTGTGCACCTTAGAAAGTTCCTTGCTTCTTATTCTTGAGACTCAGCCTCCTCCAGGACTATGTAATACAGGGGTTCCCAAACTTTGTTCACAGTGTTCTTTGTGATCCAGTATTGCCAATTCGAAAGCCAAAGAAACACCTGACAATTATGAAAACTGAATAGGGAGAGTCACACACTTTATTAAACGCTTGCTGTCCTAACAATTTAGTAAAATTTTAGAAAAAATAGTACAAATATTTTGTGACAAAATACCTGGGTGGTAGTATGCACACCTTTAATCCCAGCACTTGAGAAGCAGAGGCAGGTGGATCTCTATGAGTTTGAGACCATACCCTTAACAGTTGTGCCATCTTCTCTGCCCCCTTTTGTTTGGTTAAGATGGTGCATGTGCTTGACCCAGACGGGGCATCACTGCTAGGGTCTCTGTGATCTCCACAGTCAACAGATTAGTGATCTGCAGGAGGCAAGAAGGCAATTTTGTTCAGCCTAACTAAGTAGCTAGTGTTGGTTCAAACTTCAGGAGTATATTTAAGCACAGTACAAACTTTTCTGGTGATAATTAACTCAGTCCTGTGTGCCAATAAAGCATACATAAATCTCTGAGGAACAAAGTAAGTTAAATGAAGATTGGATGTGACTATATAAAACTCTTTGTAAAATACATGTGACACCTTCCATAAAGATGGGTTCTCTGGATGAACTGAAATAAGCAAGCTTATGATGAAGGTCTGGGGATGGTCCAGTGGTCACTGGTCACACATATAGCACAAAGTTCATCAGGCTAGAATGCATGTCTGCTCCCAGCCTTCCGGGTGGATAACAGCTATTAAATTCCTTCCCTTGAAGGAACAGCCCTGTATGCTAACATTCTAGGTTCTCCTAGTGCTTATGTGTGAGTACAAGGACCTGTGTGCCTCCTACACATCACTATTCTCATGCCTATTTCATGTTGACTTTCCACATAATCATCAACAATAAACTTTGAAAAGATACAGCGTCATCGAAAGTGATATATGCATCTGATGAGGAAGCAAGTTCATGCTGCATAACGGACATCCTAATCACTTACCTTCAATGAAAGGTCCTGTGGGGGTCCTTTTGAGTTATTTGTAGAGTACTAGAGTGCCTTGGGCACAATCTGGAAACTTGAACTTTAATGACATAGAACCCTTGGTCAAGCTGAAGAAGCAAAAACCAGTTAAACACAAGATTACAGTAGCTAAGTAATTATCTGATTTCTTTAAGAATTTTGGGTTGCTGAAGTTGGACATGGTATGATCATTCCTATTTCTTTGGTTTTCATGTGTATGTAAGTGGTGTGTGTGTGTGTGTGTGTGTGTGTGTGTGTGTGTGTGTGTGTGTATGTGTGTTCCATGTATATGTGTGTGCATATGAGCATGTGTGTGAATGCCTGATATTGATGCCAAGTGTCTTCCTCAATGGCTCTTCTACCTTATTCATCTTAGTCAAGGTCTTTCAACCAAATTTAGAGCAGCCCTATATGACTAGTCTTGCTAGCCAGATTGCTCTAGGGATCACCTGTCTGCCTTCCAGGTCTGGTATTACAGGCATGCAGGCATGCCCATCCAGAATTTATTTGAATTCTCTTGCCTACAAGTGCTGTAAGGGCTGAGTCGTCTTCCCCAGCCCCTTCCTTATTTCTATTATTTTAGTGTGATATAGCTTTTATTGTCTTAAAATGTTTGTTTGAATTGTAATTGTTTTAACAGCTGGATGAATTGCATATAGCTATGATCCAGTGGATGGTAAATTTGTTGACCATAATGCTTCCTGACTTTACTGACCAAGAGACTCTCCCAAGGCTGGAGGAGGAAGAATTAGAGACCAGTGAGGAGCATGAAGTAGGAGTCGCAGAATTAGAGTTAAATGCAATTTCACTGGCCAAGCGGTTGGCACGCTACACCAGCTACTTGTACAGGTGACACCTTTGTTTCCTGCATTGCTGTCCATTTGAAGGTGAATGCAGGGAAGGTAAAACAGATAGCAAAGAACAATAGGTGCTATTTATTTGTTTGTTTTTTTCAAGACAGGGTTTCTCTGTATTGCTTTGGAGCACCAGTCCTGGAACTTGCTCTGTAGATCAGGCTGGCCTCAAACTCACAGATACTTGCCCGCCTCTACCTCCCAAGTTCTGGGATTAAAGTCGTGCACCATCAACTCCTGGCAATAGATGTTGTTTTAAGACCTTGAAAGAAATATTAGACTGAGGCAGGAAGGTTGTAAGTTCAAGGCCAGGCTGGCTATGTAACGAAATCCTGTCTCAGAAAAAGAAAGAAATCTTAGTTCAGGTTTGTTTCAACACTATGCCCAGTGGCAGTTTAGGATTGTTTTGGAAACAGTGTTGGCAAAGGGAGGATAGGAAGTATGCTTTAGAGACCCAAGTGTTGGTTTTTAAAAAGGACTGACTTACTTGTAGAAATAAGATATCTTTCACCTGTGTATGTACTGTATGCTTGTAGTCTTGGGGCTTGGAAGATGGCTCAGTGGGTAAAGTGCTTGCCATATGAGTGTGAGGACCTGGTCTGTCACCAGCACCACATAAAAGACAAGCAGTGTGTCTGTCGCTAATGCTGGGCATGGGAGAGGCAGAGCTAGGCAGATCCAGTCAGTCTAGCCAAACAGTAAGCTCCAGGTTTAGCAACTCCCCCTTCTCTCTGAGGAACAAAGTAAGAGAGGGGAGAGGAAGAAAAAGCAAAATAAAACAAAATTCTCTCAATTCCACGAAAAAAAATGAATATATAACTTTTGTGTTTCCCTAAATACTAACCAATTGCCTTTTATAAAACTGAAAAACAAAAAGGCTAAAAGCTGAGCTGTGTGTGGTAGCTTACACCTTTAACCCCAGTACTCAGGAGGCAGAATCAGGCAGATCTCTGGATTAATGGTGAGTTCTAGAACAGCTAGAGCTACATGGAGAGATTTTGGTCTCAAAACATTAAAAACCAAACCAACCAAACAACAACAAACAAACCAAAGACAACAACAAAAAAATGTGGATTTGATGGCACATGCCTTTAATCTCACAAAGTTAGAAGGTTCAAATCAAGTAAAGATGAGACAGGAAAATCATAACCTGTGTTACATGGAGAGCCACTCATACTTGCTTTTAGTTTTGGAAGTAGCTCATACAGTTGGAACATTGACAAATTGTATCTGTCCCTTATTTCAGTGCAAGTTTACAGATGTTTAGGGGCTGAGAAGAATGGAGGGCAGGAAGGCAATAAGGGTGAGAAATTTAGTAAGGACAAATTACTGTCCTGGTGAAGCAGTGCTGTAATTATATAGTACATGATCCTGATAGTAGTGTCTGGGTTGTAAGCACTCTCTAAGCACTTACAGTAATGATCAGTAATGAGTTGATTATGTTAGGAATGTCAGTCAGCATCTCATTACTATAATGAAATACCTGAGATATTAATTTATAAAGAGAAAGTTTTGTCTTGGCTTACAGTTTGAAAACCCCCAGTCCATGACCTCTTGGTTCCAGTGCTTTGGGCCTGAGGCCAGGGAACATCATTGTCACCCAGGAGTCTGTGAGAAAACAGCTTCCTCGTTCATAGTAAGGAAGCAAAAGGGGAAGAGAAAGGGATAACACACTTCACTCTGGGGACACACCTCCTGCTGCTTTCACCTCCCAATAGTGCCATTTGGGAGGAGGGGACCAAGTCCAAATCACAGTCCTGAGCTTATGTGAGCTCACTGTCTCTGCTCATCTCTGTCTCCATCTGTCTCTTTCCAGTTGCTGCATAGGCATGGTAAGAGCAATGACTCTGACTAGAGCTGCTCACCTTCAGAAGAATCCTGCTAAGGACCTTCAGGAGCTGGAAAAGATGAGGGTAAGAACTTTTTTCTCTTAGCTTTGCTTTGTTTTGCTTTTAGCAGATCTTCCAGGTCTAATTAATTCAAAACACACTGTACATATTTGAGTTAAATAATTTCATAATTCTAAAATATTTATGTAGCCATTAAAACAATCATAATAGAAGTGGTGAATATAGCCAACTCTTTCAAAGTTTACACTTCCTTGATAATTTCTCCTCTCAGCCTTGTCTTATCCCCAGGAAATATTTGATTTATTTTCTGATATCAAAAAATAATTTTTTAATTTTCTTGAAATTATATAAATGGAGTTTTATAGACTATAGGGGTATTTTGGGCCTGACTTTAAAAATATTTTTAGTATTTATATAACTATCTGTGTAATTGCACATACATGTGGGTGTCAGATCCCCTGGATCTACAGTTAGATAGCTGTGAGCTGTGTAACATGGATACAGGGAGCTGAGCACAGATCCACTGCAAGAGCCCAGGAGCTCTGGCCCCTGGCCTGCCTGTCTTGACCAAGCCTAGTTATTCTGAGACGAAAGTTCATGCTCTCTAGTGAAGAATGCTCTCTAGTGAAATATATTATTGTCAGTGTGATGTGAAAGAAGGAAATACTTTGGCTCACAGTTTCATTGTTTAGCTGACTCCATTGTTTTGGGCCTGTACCAAGGCCCAAAACATGGCAGAGGAGATGTGATGGATAGAGATGCTCTGTTGTTGGTTTCTTCCTTCCTTCCTCCCTTCCTCCCTCCCTTCCTTCCCTTTCTTTTCTTTACTCTTTTGGTAGGAGGGGACCACCAAGCTCCCAAATAAATCATAAAAAATTCTTTTATTATAAATACCCAGCCTAAGTTTGGCTTGTTTCTTGCTAGCTTTTCTTAATGTAAATTATCTTTTCTACCTTTTGTCTCTGGGTTTTTACCTTTATCCTATATACCTTTATTTACTTCTTACTTGGTGGCCAGCTGTGTAGCTGGGTGGCTGGCCCCTTCTTTTCTCATTCCTCAATCTATTTTCTCTATTTTTTTCTCCTATTTATTCTCTCTGCCTGCCAGCCCTGCCTGTCCTTTCTCCTGCCTTGCTATTGGCCATTCATCTCTTTATTAGACCAGTCAGGTATTTTAGGCAGGCAAAGTATCATAGCTTCACAGAATTAAACAAATGTAATGTAAAAGAACGCAACATGCCAGGCATTGGTGGCGTGTTTAATTCTAGCACTCTGGAGGCAGAGGCAGAGGCAGAGGCAGAGGCAGAGGCAGAGGCAGAGGCAGAGGCAGAGGCAGAGGCAGAGGCAGAGGCAGAGGCAGAGGCAGAGGCAGAGGCAGAGGCAGAGGCAGAGGCAGAGGCAGAGGCAGAGGCAGAGGCAGAGGCAGAGGCAGGCAGATCTATGTGAGTTTGAGGCCAGCCTAGTCTACAAGAGCTAGTTCCAGGACAGCATCCAAAGCCACAGAGAAACCCTGTCTCAAAAAATAGGAAAAAAAAAAAAAAAAAAAGAAAAGAAAGAAAGAGGATGCAACACATCATTAAACAAATGTTCCACAGCATAAAGAAATGTAACACATCATAAAATAATATTCTATAACAATGCTCACCTCATGGTAACTGGGAAGCAGAAAGAGACAGACAGAGGGGCTAGGGAAAGACTGTGACCTTCAAAGGCAGAAGCTCCACTTCTCCAACCAGGTCCCACCTTCTGCTGGCCCATTCTTCACAAAGTTCTCAGTGGACTAAGCCATCCATGAAGGTGGTGCCTCATGATACCACCAGGTGTGGGCCAAACAGTCAACTAAGGAGCCATTTAAGGACATGTCCTACCCAAAGAGCAATGTAAGTATTTTACTGAGAGATATAATATATGTATACATTTTTATATTATATAAAGTGCATCCATTATCTCTTGATGGACACCTGAATTGTTTACATCTTTTGATTATTATAGGCAAAGCTTCAATGTGTTTTAATGTACTAATCTTTGAACAGACATTTACTTTCTTCTCTTGGAATAGGATATGTATGTTTCTAAGGTGACCATCATTTATGCACTCCTGCCATTTGTTTCACATTCTCACTGTCAGTTGATATAGCCCACATCTTATTTACATATTTTATGTATATGGGTGTTTTGTCTGCATGTATATCAGCACACAAGAAGAAAGCATTGGATCCCATGGGACTACAATTATAGTGTGTGATATGCATGTCTACATGTCTATATATGTGTTCTCATATGTGTGGACACATGTTTGTGTGTGTGTGTGTGTGTGTGTGTGTGTGTGTGTGTGTGTGTGTGTGTAGGCCAGAGGAGGACATCTGGTGTCTTTCATGATCACTCTTTCACTTATATATTAAGGCAGATTCTCTGGTTGAACTCAGTCTTCACTGATTCAAAGAATATTTGATTGATATATACACAATACTTAGAAAAGTTTGGTGTGGGCCTAAAAACTATAAATGTATTTGCTATTTATACTTGTTGTGTGACAGACTTTTTCTGAGGAGACACAACACAAACATGTCTACTAAATGCAGATGGGGGATCCACAGCAGACCAAAGTAATGACTGTACCAGTGTCCAATCAATGAGTTCTATTGGAATTATTTATAGGAATACAAGTGAGAGGTTACTTACAGGAACGAAATTCACTCAAAGACAGCTGCATCACCAAAGCCCATTCCAGCATGGGTGACAGCTCACAAAAGCTGGAAACTGAGCACATACTGCACAGCTTGCAGACAGGTCAGCAGGTTAGAGAGTGTTCTTTCCAAATGGGTCAGTTGGTCTGAGCCTTTTTAAGGCATCTCATTTGGTCTCTAATGCTGGGCTTGTCTGCTGGTAACACTACTTAAACACTCTTGGGGAGGGAGAGGTCTAGTGAATCTGGTCAGTTTCAGGGACTTCCTGAAGCTAGTTTGAGTTGTTTATTACCTGTGTTAAGGGGCTTCCCTGCAAGATGGATTGTTTCAGTCTCAGAAGTAACTCTTACCCAACAGTATTGTTATTAGTAAGCAATCATGTTGACATAATCAGTTGTATAAAATTTATTAGGATAGGTCATTTGAGCATTAGTAAACCTGTGACTCTGCACCTGGTTTTATGATACTTCACCAAACTTTATTTCATTACAAACCAAACCACAAACCCTGTCAGTGAGAGACAATATGATTTGGGTCTGCATTGTAGGAAGACACTTCTGTGCAAGCCTTTGAATTAACTGAACAGAAAGGTGCTATAGTTAGAGGGATTGTGCTTAGCAGGTCAGTGGGAGTCAATGAGTGAGTTGCTGTAGTTTTTTTGTTTGTTTGTTTTCCCTGTATAGTAATTATGCTGTGTCTCTTTCCCAGAGAGAATGTTATGATTGGATCAGCACATGTTCGTACCTCCTTTCTGATATCAAAGGCAGGAAAATACAATTGCTAACATATGAGGACGCAGAGCAGCTGCTTGGGGAAGAGGTATTTACCACATGCTCATATTATTTGGTTGATATGGAAATGCGTGGAGCAGTCATTAGTAAGATCATATTCAGGTTCTTCCTGCATTTCAGGGAGTAAGTTGCAGCATCTTTCCACAATTGATGTTCTGCATCCTCTCAGAAGGCTCCACCAGAAGGGGATTTGCTTCTGATCTGGAGTGTCGGCAGCTCTTCTTTAAGAGACTTCTTAAATCTTAAAAACAAATTTAAGATTTGTTTTTATGCCCCTCCGTGTGTGTGTGTGCATTTGTGTGTGCGTGGGCACGTACACCTGTGGAGGCTGGAAGAGGGTTTTGAATCCACTGGTGCTGGAGTTATGTGCACTGCCTGGTGTGGATGCTAGGAACTAACCCTGGGTTCTCTGCATGAGCAGCAAGCCCTCTTAGTGTTGAGCCATTTTTTTTTTTTTTGTTTTGTTTTTGTCTTTGCAGGACAGGGTCTCACTATATAGTTCTGGCTGTCCTAGAACTCACTATATAAAGTAGACTGACTTGGAATTCATAGAGATCTGCCTGCCTCATACACCACCACCCCAGGCTTGAATCTATGTCTTAAGGTTTTCAGATGGGAATTCTAAGTCTTCTTCAGGCCATCTGCTTCTGTGTATACCCTCTTTGCAGTCACCAGGGTTATGTCTTCTTTTTAGTATTTGATCTGTGGAATATCCTCTCTCTTTCATATGTTTAACATCTTCCTAGTATATCCATCTAACCAATCTGAAAATAATTTATAAATGTGGCAATTTCTTCCATTTAAAAACATGTTCTTTGTCCTTTGATTTTTTTTTTTGCCTCATTTCTCCCTCTCCTTCCTGCATAATCACTTTAAAAAACAACAACAACAAAAACAAAACAAAACAAAAAAAATCACCGGTGCTGATCTCACTGAGGGCCTAATGAATGCTGAGCATCCTATGAGGCACAACTTGGCCCACAGTGGGTTCTGTCAAAATTCTAAATCTATTGAGTCACTGGTGGCTTTATTGCCTGCTCTAGAATCTTCAGTCCTCCATTTAACCAAGCTTCCCTTAGCATTTGGCTCTTAACTGTTCATTCCTTCGGTAAATTTTCCTTACAAGACAAACGTTCCTGGATTTTATCCTTGTTATAGTTGTCTGCTTCTGCCTGTGTGTGACACCTAGTCTCTGTCATTAGGATGGTCTCTCTACCCTTTCGACATACCTATATAGTATTATACTCATCCAGTTTCTTGTGTGTGTTTGAGATGGGTTCTCATGCAACACAGATTGGCTTGAACTGTTTGAGATAGGCTGGCCTTGGCCTTGAACTTGTGATAGACTTCCTTCATTTGCTTCTTAAGTGCTGAGCTTATAGGTATAAGCCATCATACCTGGCTAATCCTGTGGTTTTTAACTACCATCTGCTTACCAGTGATCCCAGATCAGTGCATAGTGTTTAATGGCAGTAACATAGTCCTTTGGTCTCTGAAGGTTATTTACTTCCAGTAAATTCTGAAGAAGCTTCTGTTGCTGTGACAGCCATACCCCACAAGTATGATCTGATAGCATGCATATTAATGTCCCTGGGTCTGAGAAGGAAGGAGACATTTCTACATAAACATCTGTAGGACTTTAAGCATCACCTTTAAAAAATATGCATCTCCAACAAAACCTTTTCTGTGTTTCCCAGATCTTGGAGACAATTTTTCTTCTGCTTTACCCTTTAGAATTCTTCTTCTTCTTCTTTTTAAACTGAGGATCTATCTACTGGTGGCAAACCAAGTTTTTGTTTGTCTGAAATATCTTTGTTTCAACTTCATTCTTCAAAATTTTTGCTGTGCCTGCAGTTAACTCTATACTGGTACTCTTTTCCCTCTGTGTGATTGTTACAAAGCCAGTGATGGAGAATTCATCTGTCAGTTCCTTTGAAGATAGCCCCTCTTTTTACTCTGGCTACTTTTAAGATCTCCTTCTGTCTTTGACACTCACTTCTGCACCCACACTCTGATGTGTAGTTCACATACATATGTTTCTGTCATTATTTGAACAGGCCCCTTTAAGGCATTGGACACTGTTAACCATTTTTCTCTTGGGCCTTTCTAGTGACCCTCTTAGATTTCTCAGGATACTTTTGGGATCCTTTTTCTTCTCTACAGTTTTTATGTAACTACTTTCTGTCTTAAGTCCTTGCAGCACCCCACAAGTTTATGTGGAAATGTGATTTATTTTATTAGCTTTAACTAGATGCATATAACTATTAAATATTTAGCTCAAATTGGACTCTTTGGACTCCAGATCCATATATTCTCACTTAGCAATCTCAGTAGTACCTTGAAGGCACACAACCTAACCACAACCCATTTCACTCCCCAAACCTGCTCTCCCAGCCCCATCCATTATTTCCATGAATGGCATCACCATCCATTAGTGGCCTGTGTCACTTAAGATGTATGTTTTCCCTGACCATTCTGTTTCCATCTATTGGTCAGAAAGAATGATTCTTCATTATCTCCTGGATCACCCTTCTCTTTATTGCTACAAACACTATAATCACTCTCTCCTTGGGTTTTTCTTTCTTCTCTTTTTTCTGATCTAGCTTCCTATTGTGAGAATGATTTAAAATGAAAATCATATTAATCAAAAAAATGTTTTGCTGCTTTTTGGATGTTTTGTTACCTTTCTGATACAATCCAGTACCCTGACATGAAAGTTAAGTCCTGGGTTATGGTTGCACCTTGTTGGTCCATTGCCTCAAATGTTATGTCTTATGGAACCATTTTTCTTCTTGGAGCTAATTGTACACATATAACTGGTTCTGCCAGAGCCCCTCTGTACCTTCTTCCCCCTTCATACAACAAGAAAACTACTCTACCATTATTGCCTCCTTTTTGACCAGCCTTTGCTGTACTTTACATGCTATAGATTGGGTGTTCCTGCTTCATGCTCCATCTACAAGATTGTACTGTCTGCAAAATGGTAAGCCTTGTGAGGACAGGAACCACTCCTACCACCATTTGTGGTTTTTATTTTAAAAGATTTTATTTTTATTTTAATTATGTATAGGTTTGTGCTCATGAGTGCAGGTGCCTGAAGAGGCCATCAGATCTCCCTGAAGCTGCCTGATATGGTGCTGGGAGCAGTATGTGTTGCTAACCACTGAGCCCTCTACCCCTTTGTGTTCTTATCAATAGCAGAATACTCAGTTGTGGGATTAGTTCTCATTTATTATGAAATTGCTAATATCTATACACACAAATTACAGTTACAATACTGTTACATTACACAGGAAGCTTCAAAAATTTATCTTGACCCAGAAAAACCATTTATTGGTGATGATAACGATGACGAAATTGAGAGTAAGGCGACTGAAGCTCAAGAAAAGAAAGAAGTAGCAGTAGAAGTAACAAAACAGGTAAGCTTATTTGCTGGACAGAGTGATGGTTGCCTATACTCTCAGCTACCTGGGAGGCTGACACACAAGATCACTTGAGGCTAGGAGTTCAAGACCTGGCAATACAGCAAGACTCTGTCTCAAAACAAAGTAAAGTGAACCGAACCCGAGAAGACAAGCAAAAGTGATGTGTGATTAGCATGAGTTTCTCCTTTCCCATTGTCTTTTCAAAGACCAGGGTGATAAGAGATATAGAAGGTGGAGGTGGCTTTCCTGGGGCGACTGCTTCCGCCTCCCTTTTTCCCCGTCCAGGTATAGCCACACCTGCAGGAATATTGATTCTTTCCACTTTCTTTTTTCCTAAATCCACATATTCCCATTAGCTTCATTCATTTGCCTCTCTCCAGCATCCACCCCATCTGCTGCTGCTTCGCTTTCCCCTCATCATGAGATTTCCCAAAACAAGGTTAACCTTCCCTGTCCCTGTGCTTCAGCTTCCCTGCTGCCCTCCTTGTCTCTAGCTGTCTCATTATTCTGACTCCTCTACTCCTGCTGAAAAATCTGTAGCAGTCAAAACCCACATGGACATCTATAGTAGTGATAATACAATGACAGCTACTGGTGATGAGTGTAGATTATATCTATGCTGTGCATGTTGCCCAGGATAACAGGATATACATTGCTTTATTTTATAGACAGGAAACTGATGCTCTGAAAGGTTGACATTTTGCCTAAAACCATATAGTTTCAAATGACAGAACCAGCACTCAAACCCAGACAATTGTGGTAGAAGAGCCCTTACCGATTCCTCGACTGATTGTTACTGCCTCTGGTTTAGAGCCTGATGGTCTCCACACATCTTGATAGATGTCTCTGCACATCCATTAAGTGTTGCTATAGGGGCTTGCAGCAAGATGGCTGTCAACCTGAGTTTGATCCCCAGAATCCACATAAAAATGGAAGGGAAGAACGAACTCTGTGAAGAAGTTGTCCTTCCTTCATGTATGCATGCCCCCACACACTAATAATAATAAGCAAAGTTTAAGAAAAGTTGCTTTGACCCTGAACTCTATTGTAAGTAGTAAGGTTTTTCCTCACATTGCTGGTCTTGTCCCACCACCGCACCAGCCCCAAATAACACACCGAGACTCTGTATTTGATATAATGCTGTTGGCCAGGTACTAGTTTCTTATTGGCTAGCTCTGTCTTAATTATTAACCCATTTCTATGTATCTCCACGTGGTCTTACCGGAGAGCGGAGGCCGGCGGTTCTGTTCTCTCCCTTCTCTCCATCCTGACTCTTCCTTCCTACTTCCTCTTTCCTCCTTGTCTCCTAGTCCCTCCTCTCTTGCTTTCCTATTGGCCAACAGTGCGTTATTCATTAACCAGTATGAGAAACATATGTACAGAATGACATCTCCCATCATCTAATTTCCGCAATACTAGGCCTTAGTCAAAAATAAAGCAGAACTACAGAACAAAATTAATTAACAGCCAGCCCTCTGTTTTCAAGCATTTTCTGTTTTGTTTTTGGTAAAGTGCTTGGTGTATGGAGAACCAAATGCTTTTCCATTTATTTACAGAGAGCATTAAAGCTATCACCATCTGTGAACTTACTTCAGGTCCTTTTCTCTCTATTTCACAAGTACCTGTTCAATCTTCAAATGTAGTTTTTTTTTTCCTGTGAGCAGTTCCCCCTTGTGTGTGCACACAGCCCTTAGAATACATCTTTATGCTAACAGCCATTGTATGCCATGACTGTTCATCTGCCTTTCCTGCTGTGTTGAGTTTCTATATTAGTACGGAGTTTCTAGAGGAACAGAACTTATAAAATGAAAAAAAATTCATTCTTTCTATATATGGTTAGGGATTAGGATCAGGGATATATATATGTATGTATGTATGTATGTATGTATGCATGTATATGTATATGTATGTATGTATGCACACACATATCTATACCTATACCTACATCTATATATATGACTCTTCTTTTTCCATCTTGACTTTATAAAAAAGCCTTCTCATTCTCTTTTCTATGTCTCTGTTTTTCTGTGCTCTAGGAACCTTCAACATCTATAGGCAGTGAACAAACCCTACGATACATCGGAAAAGATGAAAATATCCATTGTAGACCTCTGTTTGAAGAAGATATATTTTCATCCTGGGTATGTAACTAAAATCCAACTAGAAAATCTAAAAACTACTCCTTAAGGTTCTTTGAAAACAATATGGGTCTAACTTTTAGTTCCTTTTAGTGCTTTTTAGTAGCTTTTAGTTCTTCTCAGGTGACTCCTGGTTAATGTATTTTGCAGATTATTTTCATATAGCACTAGCTTTCTAGACTTATTTTTCCTCTGTGTCTCCATAGAAAGCTCATTCTGGGGCTGTGGTAGATGTAACTCAGCTCTCCTGGGCTTCTGTCTCTCTGCAGAACACCATTACTTTAGGAGTCTGTGTTGGGCTCTATTCCATCAGTCTCCCAAAATTTACTACATACTTTATGTGTATGCTCATATGTGTATTTTTCTGGGTTGGGGGAGAGGATCAACATACGTTACCAAATTGCTGAACTCCCAAATCAGGAGACTTCCAGTTGTTAGGATGTGTGAGTCATTAACCTAGGTGGTTGCTCGTGGGTTCAAGGAGTTTCATCAGCTGCGTCAGCATAGTGGAGCATGGCGACCAGAGCACGTAGGTGGAGGTCAGGCCTAGAGTAGGGAGGATTTGTAGTGAGTTTTATCTAAGGATATTGTAAGTAATAAATCCCAGCAATGGTGGAAAGAACTCAGAGATTTAGGGCACATTTGGGGCGAGGGGAGTACACGGGGATTATAAGCACATTTTCCCAAAGTGGAGTCCTGTAAGAAGTCTTTAAAATAATGCTCTGCATCTGTCATCACCATTGTGAGGCAGATTCAAGAAGTAACAGTACACACGGGACTGCTGGTCCCAGGCAAAGCTGTTCTTTAGATGTTTCCCTCGAATGAAACCCTGCTGGTCCTTCCAGAGGAGGGGTTGGGATCCACCTTTGGAGACAGGCAGGAAGCAGAGGGGAGCTAGAAGTCTGTAGCTCAGAGGCAAAACTGAGAACCACTGAGGTGTGGTACTCACTGCTCTGGGACACTGCCTGTGTTAGTAAGCTTTCTGTCCCTGTGACACAGTGCCAGAGAAGGCCAGTGGAAAGGAAGATTTGCTTTGCTCCTACTTTCAGCCCTTGTCACTTGACTCCAGTGTGCCCAGGCTGCAGGGAGAGAAACAGTTTTGTTTTGTGGGAGCATGCAGTGGGGCAAGAGATGGAAGAGGGAGAGAGAAGGATAGGGAGGGTATAGGAAGAGGGAGAGAAGGGAGAGAGAAAAGGTGGGAGAGAGAGAGAGAGGAAAGAAAAGTAAAGGAGGATGGGAGAGAGAAGAGAGAAAAAAAATGGTGCTAAAATATGCCCTTCAAGGCATGCCACCAGTGGCCCTAGCCCCGAAAATCTCCATCACGAACTATACTGCCATCACCTCAGAGCCAGGCCTTTAGCATGTGGCCTTTGAGGGGGACATTTCAGACCCATTAAGCTGCACTGTCTTGCCTCTTCTCCCTGGGAAAGGTTACTCTTGCCTCCAGGGATGGCTCAATTTCATTAATTCTGAGAGCTTTTAGCATAGCAGCGTTTGGGGATCCTCACTGTGCCATAATCGTTTCAACATATCACCACTGAGCAAACAGTTCAAATTCTGAGACTTCAAACCAATTGGTGGAGATACACAGTGTTTACATCCAGCAGGCGCTACCTTACAGCTCCACACTGTGTCAGCTGTATGAATAAGGTTGCCTGTAGCCCAGCCGTTCTAGCCAGCAAGGAACACACTAGAAACAGGCTACATGATGGTCATCTTAAATTCTTGGGTCCTGACTGTCCATAGGGTCATAAGCACATCACAGGTTTTGCTGGATCATATGTGAATACCCTTCGAAAGGCAAACAGGAGACAGATTTGGGTTCAGCAGTGTTTTCAACCCAAGATTAGGCATTCTCCCATCTCCTGACATTTGGGCTGAAGGACTTGTATGAAATTTCATGCCATAATACTATATACCCCAGGAATAGATATTAATTTGCAGGGTGATAGAGGCAGAGGTAGCCCATCTCTGTGAGTTCAAGGCCAGCCTGGTCTACAGAGTGAGTTCCAGGACAGCCAGGACTATAATACAGAAAAACCCTATCTCAAAAAACAAAAAACAAAAAACAAAAAACAAACAAAACAAAACAAAAAAAAAAACCCAAACCAAAACACAGTGACTAATTTGTTGATTTTATAACAATGATAGGGAAGGACCCTTAAAGTACATGGCTCCAGAAAACTATGTCCTAAGCAGACAGGGCTCAAAATCTGGCAGGGAGTTTGGTGCTGAAAGCCATATCCATAGAAGGCCCACCTGGACACACACCTTTTCAGAGGTACTTCCAGGCCAGAATGGTTAGTCCAGTCCAAGGCCCCTTAGGAAAGAAAGCTGAGAAGAGTGAGCCCAAATGCCAAAGGTAGGTCTCAGACAGAGACAGGCTTAAAGCCACAGTGGACTGACACCGGCGAGGAGAGTCCAAATGCACCTTTAGGAGCCATGCCTCCAAGTTTATCACTTGGGTGGAAGAATGTCAATGCCAGAAGGAAGCCATGCAGACAAACAAGGTGCACCGGGCAGTGGTCTGCTTTGCTGCCATCTAAATCAGTGTTCGGATCCTACCCCTGACATTTTCTCTGCCTGGCAAGATTTACACCTCTAAGCAAGTATGCCATTCCCTAAGGAATCTTAACAGGATTTTGCAATGTTATGTATAAAGTAAAATTACCAGCAGTGAATTATTAGTAACTGTGAATTATTTTCTTTCTTTGATTCATTAGAGAGACATGTTTACCCTTCTTTTAAAGCATTTCCACATTTCCTTTTGTTACAGTTTCTCTTACCCCCTTTTTCTACACTAATGTCTTTCACATCTATATGTAATATGAATAATTTGGAATCTACTGTGCTATTTGGCCACAGGCAATGTCTATGTTTTTTTGTTTGTTTGTTTTTTTTTTGTTTTTTGTTTTTTTGATGTTAGGCTTGTGAGTAATCACTTACCAGATAAATACAAGCAATAGGAAAGTCTATTCCTGAAAATGGACTATTAACTGTTGGGACTCTCAGTTTAATTACCTCACATATTTTCTTTGTCAGAGAGAACCAGCTAGAAAAGGTGTATTGGAGCCCAAGTACGTTGAAATAATGACTGTAATTGAATATATGCAGGACAAGCTTATGTGAGTATGAGGTACCATGATGGTAAGAAGATAAAGACTATGGGCCAGAAGCTTGGCTTAGCAATGCACACTTCTTTGCTTACCTTTGTCTTGTGGGTTTTGGTCTCACTAGTGGGATGAACAACTGAAAATCTTTGGCCAGAGCTACACGGCTGTGATGAGAAAGTCCCTCCTTAACCCACAGTGGAGGTGGGAGCTGGTATGGGTATTTGCAAGTGTACTATGTCAGTAAAGGGATAAGGAGCAGTCCAAGCCAGTGGAATTTTGGGAGATGATTTAAGGAGAAGAATGGAATCAGGAGAAAATATTGTGCTTGAGAAAAAAATGTTACACAACCCAGAGTTGGAAGGATAACACAGTAAGATGCCAGATGAGTTTGAGAAGACTTTGTCATACATACATAACATATACCTTACATTTCATGTTTTATTACATTTATTTACTTTGTGTGCATGTATATGTGTGTGCATATGTATCTGTGTTTCTATGTGTAAATGCGTTTGTGTATGTATGTGTGTGTTTGTGTGTGTGTGTATTGTCTGTGTTGCATGTGGAGGTCAAAGGACAGCTTCCAGAAGTCCATTCTTTCCTTTTGTCATATGGGTTCAGGGGATTGAACTTGGCAGCAGTACTCACTGAGCCCTCTTGCCTATCCTAACACATACTCTCATAAATACAAAAGTGTATCTCAAACTGGTTTTCTTGATTGTAAATTCTAGTTTTAGAGGTGTTAGAAAAGAAGGGACGTTACTGGGTTTTGTTGAGTTCTATCAATTATGTGAAGCTGAAATGAACTGCTGATGAGGGCTCTCTGGCTGTTGGTGAGGAATTCAAATATACCGAAGTCAGCTCTCATTAAGAAATGAGGACTGCGTTGTATTCTTAAGTGATAGGGGGACTCTAGCTGCCATCTGCAGTAGCCCTAGCCCCTCGATTCTCCATTCATCCCTGATGCCCCCTGCTCCCCATGTTTGCACCTGTCAGCCAGACCCATCTTCTCCCATGGCAGTTTTCACATGAGTTTCTGTATGAAGGAAGAGTACATTTTCACCTCTCTCTGTTCTGTCGTGTTTCCCTGGACTTGGTCCACTTCAGAGATATTGACACCAGGGCCAGACAGGCAGAGGAGAAGTATGACAAGGCAAATGAGACGCTTCATCACACCCTCATAAGAAACAGAGATCTGGAGAAGGAATTAGAAGAAATGGCCAAGAAAGTCAGAAAGGATTCCCGTGTAAGAATAGAAAAGCCCAAGGAGGAAGATGAGGAGGAAGACGAGGAAGAATCTGAACAAAAAGAGGGGAGCCCAGAAGGGGAGGAACAAAAACATGGGAAGAAATCCTCAAAGCGTGCAAAGAAAGGTGAGATTGCTTCTGCATTTTTATGAAGAAAACTTAAAGGGTATGAGTATTTTATATTCCTTCATTGTGGGGAAGCTCCACACAATACAATACATGTAATTACATCCCACCATGTGTACATACAACATATACACAAAATAATAAAGTTTAAAAAATAAATGGAGAGTGACAGAGGGTAACACCTGATATCTGCTTCTGGCCTCCACACATGCACAGGTGCTCCCCCATGCATGCACTACACAAACATGCATACACCACTCATACACACACACACACACACACACACACACACACACACACACACACACACACACACACACAAAGAAATAGCAATAGAGTATTATAAATATATGGGGGAAACAAGTAAAATTTGATAGTACACATAGCCATTCATTTAAAGCTTTCATTTATTTCTATCTTATCATTTCATTCTGATTTGGACATTGTGGTGTGTAGCTGTGTCCCAGATACTCATGGGGCTGAGGCTAAAACATTGCTTTGATCTCATAAATTTGACACCAGTCTGGGCAAAAGCAAAACATCATCTTAAAAACAAATAAGTATGGCTGGCAGGAGGGCTCAGCATCTAAAAACACTTAGGCACAAGACTGATGACCCAGTTTCAGTCCCTAGGACCCATGTTAAGGTAGAAAGAGAGAATAGACTCTCCAACGCTGTCTGCTCACTTCCACATGTACACCATAGCAATACAACCTCCCCATGGTATGCATATGTCCACGTGAGCACATGCAAACACGCAATACAGTGTGCAGACAAAGGTGACTAAATGTAAGGTAGAGATAACACCCAGCCTCCTCCTCACCTTCCCTTCACATTTAGTCAACTTTTAATGCCCATGCTAGGGAGAGCAGGCTTGATGTACACTTCATACAGTGCATGTGTTCAGGAGGCAGAGAGAAAGGGCAGGACACAGTCAGAAGAGGGGTGTAGGAATGAACAAACGAGGATGCTGAAGACTCACTCTATTTGAATGTTCTCTTTTTTGTTACTTGCCTGCATAATTCTTTATCTCAGGACCTAGAATCAAGTAATTAACTGGCCACACGTAAATGTTGGGAAACATTCTGAATCTCAGTAACCAATTTAGGGTCATTAGTTGGACTGGACTTACTCAGGCCAAATGGAATTTAAAAACAGTTTCTTTTTTTTTTTTTTAAGTTAAAAGCCTTTAGTACACATAAGACACCAAACACTAACCATATTCTAATTGTTTTTGTCTTTTTTAGAATTACAGTCCAAGGATGACTCTAAGTCTGGATCCCGGGCTAAATCTAAGTCCAAACCCAAATAGCTTCCTTTGAGACTGGGGTTCACAGTGGCCATGCCCCCTGAACATGCAGTTATTGCTGAGTTGTGGAGTTGGCAACACAGCTCTCATGGATGAACTCCCTTAGCAACAGCTGTTAGAAAAGCCACACTATCCAAGCCAAGAACGTTTTTCTTTAGCAGCATGGCAGAGGCCACAGGGAGTCAATATATGAATTTGCCTGCCACATTAAAAACAGTTTGTGCAAAGGTATGCTGGCCTCTTCAGTTGATTTCCTGAGAGTTCTGTCAAAAGTGTTCATTTCCATGAAGAAAAAACTGCTATAGACTCAGATCAGGTGGGAAGGAAATAGAAAGGTTCGTGTTTTGATTCAGCAGAGAGGATCCTGCTCGTTTGCTTAGATTTCAGCCACAGATTTGACTTTCCTGATTTGAGGCACCCTTGTGAGCTCTCTGATCTTAATAATTCTTTAGCTAGGTAAAGGAGATGCTGTTTATCCCATCTTTCAGAAAATGGGACTAAGCCCCAGAGTGGTTGGTTATCAACCTTCCTGTTTCCACAGATCCAATTTGTGTCAGAGTCACACCTGGCTGAATTATAGACTATCTGCCCAGCCATAGCTTCCGTGGCTTCCTTAGCACAGCTCTGTGTTGCTGGAGACTCACCAGAATCTCTGTTTTCTTCTTTCTTTGGCAACCTCATTCATCTGCACTTTTCATGTCCCCGAGTCTGTACAAGCACAGAAATGGTCTGTCCTATAAAAGTAAGTTGAATGACAACTGGATGTTGTGGCTGTCACTCTGCAGGGTGTCCTGCTACACTACTTCTGTCTCACTCGGGTTTGCATATCTTTATGGCTTGGTCATTGTTGGGAGAAATCACTGCATTTGCTTTATTCCATAAGACTGCTGTTCCTTTGGCTTTCTTTCCTAGATTTTTAGACCTTTGTCTGATTATGCATCCTCAGAAACCCACTGACTCCAGAGTCCCTAGCCTTAGACAGGCCTGCCCCTGGCCATCAGCAGAGTATGAGAGATGGGCTCAACATTGCTTAGAATTTACCTGTGCCTATCGGACAGGTTCAATTACACTTTGCTCTTATAGAAAAGAAAACATGAAATTAATCAGACTGTTGGGTATGCTCATAGTCTAACTGATGGCCAAAGCCAAAGTTCTTACTTACAGCTTCCAATTTCTAGGCCATACCCCTGCTTTTCCTCTTCCAAAAGACATCCCCTGATGACACTGGCAAATATGGGGGATTTTTAATTTTGCATGGTTACAGAATAATTTTTATGAATTTTCTACTTCATAGGAATGAGAGGGCATTCCCACACAAATTAGTAGATCCTGCCTGTGAACCTTAGATTGTGTCAAATCATATCAACTCCATCAGGTAAAAGACACTATTTCTTTTCTTTCTTTTATTTTATGGTGAAAAAGTGTATATTTGGAATTAGCCAGCTGAACTCAGTTTAGATAATCTCAATTTTGTTGGCAACATCCAGAGCATCATAATTGGGAGCCAGCCGAACATACGCCTTCTCTCCGTCAGGCCTTATGAGGGTGTTGACTTTGGCAACATCAATGTCATAGTTTCTTCACAGCCTGTTTGATCTAGTGCCTGTTGGCCTTGATGTCCAACACAAGTGCGTTGTTGTCTTCTATCTTCTTCATGGCTGACTCAGTGGTCAGGGGGAATTTGATGATGGCATAGTGGTTAAGCTTGTTTCTCCAGGGTGCGCTCTTCTGAGGGCTGGAAGGTGGGTGATGTACGGATCTTCCTGTTGTGGCTGTGGATGCCTTTCAGCACTGCCTTCTTGGCTTTCAAGGCCTTCACTTTGGCTTCGGCTTTGGGAGGGGCAGGAGCTTCCTTCTTCACTTTCAGTGCCATCTTAGCAAAAAGCAAAGGCACTGTTTCTAAGTGCTATGTCTACTGCTGCCCTGATTACAATGGAATGCTTCATATCCAGAATTTTATTAGTTGGTTGCAAGCTACAAAGCCACAGAAACCTTCCCCCCCACCAAGACAGGGTTTATCTGTATTGCTTTGGAGGCTGTCTTGGAACTAGCTCTGTAGACCAGACTGGCCTCAAACTCACAGAGATCTGCTTGCCTCTGCCTCCCAAGTGCTGGGATTAAAGGCGTGTGTCACCAACACCTGACACAGAAACCTAATTTTACAGTATAATTTATTGGAAGGATTTGGGGGAGCTCAGGTAATTGAAATCTTTAAAAACTAGAATGATACTAGCAACCACAAGCATCTTTGAAAGATATCTGGTATAATAATTGCTTTACCATCTCACCCCAGATTTCTATAAAACAAATTCCAATCTTTTTTCATCTTTATCTTATTCTGCCAAAGTCTCAGGTTCCCAAGAGAGAGAAAGTCTATCTTATGGTCAAAGACCACACCATTGATATACCAAGGATGCTGTTCCGGTTTCCTTTCTGTTGTGATAAAACCCTGACCAAAAGGGTGGGTGGGATGGAGTAGGGATAATTTCATCTTTTACTCCCATTCCAGAGTTTATCATTGAGGGAACTTAGGGCAAGAAGCCAAGCAGAACTTGAAACAGAAACCATGGAGGAATGCTGCTTGCTAGCTCATTCGCTGGCTTATGTTAGCTGACTTTCTTATATAGTCAAAGGCCACCTGGCCAGGGAATAGTGCCACCCACAGTAGACTGGGCAGTGAAGTCAGTCCCTCACAGACATATGCATAGGCCAGTTTGCCCTGGGTAATCTCTTAGTTCAGACTTCCTTCTTGGGTAACTCCAAGATGTGTAAAGTTGACAGCTAAAGTTAACAGGACAGCTGTTTTGTGGCAAGTTTTACAGCCTTTCAGATCTTGCTGTACTTTTTTGGGTCTCTCAGTCAATGCAGAGGAAGGAACTCTTTGTTGGCCATCTGTGGCACCAGGCTGTTGAAGTCACTTGTGTAAAGGCTGACAGTGAGATGGGCAGACACAGCCAGACTGACCTCGTCTCTAAAAGAAGAAACAGATTGGCTGTCTTGTGGCTGTGACAAATAATTGAGAAAAATTACTTACCAGGAAGAAAGTTTTTTTTGGCTCATGGTTTCAGGCCAGGGCTGGGGTTTTGGTGAGGCAGAGTATCCTGGCAGTGGGAGCATACAGTAGAAACTGTTCACATCAAGGTGAATAGGCAGCTAGGAGTAACCAGAAGGGAATGGGGACACAATATAGCCTTCAAAGACATGGCCTCCAGCAAGGCCTACCCTTCCATAAGTCACCACTTCCCAGTGGAAATGGAAGTTGGCTCCTGTTACCTGTCACAGAATTCAACACAGAACAAGACTTGAGCTATAAAACTGTACTTTATTCAGAGAGCAAGCAATCTGCGATAACAGCAGATTAATACTCAGACCCATATTCAATCTGATTTTCTCCCTAGATCTTCAATCTGATCTAGGGAGAAGTGGAGATGGTGGGGTGGGGGACAGATTGGCAGTCAGCCAATCATGCTGGACTCAGTCTTGCCCCTATGGACAGGAGGTCAGCGACTTTTTTGAGAGTTGTGATGGACATCTGTGATGCTCTTGCTATCATTCCTTGTATAACCCCCCCCCCATTCTGTAGATGTTTGGGTTCACACACTTCCTGAAACTGTAGGTCAAGTGGTTTCTGTTGCTATCAGCAGTGTTCTCCAGAAGCACCCAGGCTGTGGAGGGTGCTTAACTTGGAACAAACATTTAGCAGTATATATGTGCTATGCATGTGCAAATTCTTTTCTCCAATATTGGGCACAAGTATGTCTTTATAATACAGAGTATGAAAGTGCCCATTGCTGTCCTTTCTGTGCCCTATCATTCCCCGCTGTCAGCAGTGACTCTCATATCCATAAGATCTGTATCACACAAAGGATAGCATCCTGACACATGCCCCGATTGATTACCAGCATAAGTTTTTACCGGTAAGGGCATTCTCCAACACATGGTTGTATACACTGAAGTACACTGTACATGACAGCACACAGTTAGGATTTGACATGAAAATTTCTGAAGTATGTGTGTGTCTGAAACAAATGTCACAAACAGAATACAAATAGGAGCCAAAGTTGCAAGGCATTAAGGTTAGGTAACCATACACAAGAACCATTTCTCTATAACCTATAGGTCAATGGTTCTCAACCTGTGGGTCATGACCACTTTGGGGTCTAATGACCTTTTCACAGAGGTCACCTAAGGACATCAGAAAACACAGATATTGACATTATGATTCATAACAAAATAGCAAAATTACAGTTACAACATAGTAACAAAAAGAATTTTATGGTTGTGAGTCACCACAACACGAGAAACTGTATTAGGAAGGTGGAGTTACCTTGGCACAGGTGACTCTATTTTTGTTATTGGCTTTGAGGCAGGGTATTACTGTGCAGATGTGGTGGTTAGCTTTGAATCACCCCAGAAAAGAATGATGAGGGATTATCTACATTAGGTTGTCCTGTGGGTGTTTCTGTAAGGGACTATTTTAAGTTAATCAATGGGGGAAGATCAGCCCATGGTGGGTGGCTCCATTCTCTAGGAAGGGAGCCCTGAACTGGATGAGTGGATAGATTGAGCTGAACTCAAGCAACTAAGCATCACCATGTATTCATTTCTTTCTTTCTGCACTTGGCTGTGATGTGACCAGTTACTTCAGGTTCCTGCCTTAATTAATTTCCCTACAGTGATGGATCATAACCTGGAATTGTGAGCTAAAACAAACTGTTTCTCCTTTAAGTTTCTTGTTGTGGGATATTTTATCATAACAACAGAAATGAAACCAGGGCAGAATTGGTGCTGAGCAAATGGGGTTGTCACGACAAAGCCTGACCATGAGGCTTTTACGCCTTTGGGAGAGTTTGGAATTGAAGGCTTGAAAGGTTGTTAAATGCTAGCAGCAGAGTTTAATGGGCTGCTTGAGCAGGAGTTTGAAGAATGTGGAAAGGTGGGAGGCCTGTGTCTTAAGCACCGGCTTACCACTCAGTGTGATAAGCACATTGATAGGGCCTCACAGAAAGGGCTGTGGGATCTGCTGAGATCTTGGTAAAGGAGCCAGGTAACACACAGTAGAAGGCATTTGAACTAAGTCTTCAGAAATAAAAATGGAACCACATGTAGATTCAAATTCTAAATCCCTTCTGTAATTACATGATCAGATAGATGATCCACCTGTGGTTAGATGCCTTCTCTGCCACTGTCATTTCACCGAGTTCTCATGCATCTGGCCATCTTGTGACATCACACATTCAAAAGGTCTTCTATTTGGCAACCAAACAAGGGCAAGGAGGACTGAACGCCTCACTCAGGATATAGTTTTATATGACAGACTCACATTGCTTTTTGCCCACTACCCTATAACATAGGAGAGTCCTTCTTTTTGGGATTTAGCGGCTCAACAGATTTGGAAGAATTTGGGTAGTTGATGCTTCCTTGTGTTCTGTTGCTGGGTGAAGACAGAAGGTTTAGCATGTCAAATGGTAAAGGCAAAACCACAGTGGATGGCTTCTCTGTGGACAGCGATTGAAGAGTGTGCAGGTATCGAAGCTGAACAGCAGCTGGGGTGCCCGACAGGATCTCAGCTGCCATCCTCAGGGACTCAGAAGCAGCCCTTTCCCCTTCCGCAGCAATCATCTACAGAACATGTATGAAGAAAAGCAACGTGATCATGTATGTTCTTCATTTCATGAAGGCTTTAAGTGCTTGCCATTCAGTGTGACCCAGAAAGCAAGTACCATACATCTCCTCAGTTTCAGGCACTTCTAAACGTGGGGCACTGGACTCAGTCTCTGGTGGAGGGAGCAGATAAAACTAGCCATCAAAATTGAAGGTGGATTTTCTTATACGTCATGACAAGTATACATCAAGTTTAGGGGTATTGTTAATGTGTGGTAGGCCCGAAAACTTAGTAGGATTTTGCTTGCCATATGGAGAACAAGTTAGTCCTAGTTCCAGGGACAGACATGGCATTATAACTTGTTAAAAAAAAAATGGGTAAGCATTTCAGAAGAGAAGGCTCTCAGCCCCTGTCTTACAGATGCCACCTAACATTGGGCACAGGGAACTGGTTCAGAGACCTAGATGCAAATGTGGCGCAAAAGGCCACCTTTTCCTTCCCTCCCTCCTCTTAAAGTCTTCTGTTATTGGTTCTTCTAAGTGATTATTTTTCTTATTTGAGCGATATCTGCCTCTCTTCATGTCTTCATTATCCTAGGGGTGACAGGAGCCTCAGTTATTCAGGGATAATCCTAGCACAAGAGAGGAAGGATGGTGAGGGAAGATTTTAAGGAGAGAGGGTGAAAGCAGAAGAGGAGGGGGTTGTTAGCAGGAAATTGGGGGAGAAGTTGAGGTACTGCATAGTGATCCTGTGAACACACTGTCAACTGTGGTGGGGATACAGCCAGATTCTGTTCAGGTCCTGGACCAATGTGGGGGAGCACAAGGGAATGCTTTCCACCAGCAGGCCTTCCACTGGGTTCTCAGTTGCTCTTCAAAGGCACGGGTGGGAGAGTGGAGTGCTCAGGAGTGGCTCACCCGCACTTTGGCCTGTCTTTGAGCCTCAGCTTCCACAGCCAGAGAGTGCTGAAGGCCAGCTGGCAGCCTCACGTCCTTACTGAAAAAAGAAGGCAAACAACATAGGTGTGCATCCTGATCTTAGTGTCAGGGCAAAAAGAAGGCAGACAGCATAGGCGTGCACCCTGATTGTAGTGCCAGGGCATCTCACAAACTTGCCCCTGCCTACTGTTGTTCCATGAATAGCAAATTCTTTCTTTTTTATTTAAAGATTTATGTGCATGTGTATTTTGCGTACATGTATGTCTGTACACCACATACATGCCTGTTACCCATGGAGGCCAAAAGAGGCCAACTTGGAATTACAGACATTGTGAGCAGAGATTGAACCCAGATCCTGTGGAAAAGCAGACAATTCTTTAAACCACTGAGCCATCTCTCCAGCCCTGAATAGTAAACTCTAAGCGAGGAGATAGAGCTGTTACTAGAGTCCTAACATGGAAGATAAGCAGAAAAGAACACATCTAGGTCAGTGCCCTTAGTATAGGAATGACCACTATGGAGGCTGCATGGGGCTAAGGCACTCTAATTACAAAGCCCATATTTGTGTTCACAGTTTGTGGTCATCTTTCTCACTTATGATTTCATGTAAATCCAAATTAGTAAGTTTGAATAATGAAAAACAACTTTGAAGAACCATACAATTAAAACTAAAACCAGCAGAATTCATCTAAGTTTATAAAAGAAAATTGATTTGGGGGAGAAGGAAGGAACAAATAACAATTCTATGCTATATAAAAGACACAAAAGTAAAATTTCATTATTGCACTTTCCAAACCAGTCCCAAAGTGGTTAAATTAAGGAATGTAAACACAAAATTTTGTGTGGTCATACAATGGAATATTATTTGAGTATGAAATGGAATGAAGTACTGATGTGTGCCACACCATGGGTGAACTTTGAAAAATTGTGTCAAATGAAAGGAAGCCTGACACAAAAGTCTTCATGCTATGACTCCAATTCTGTGAAATATCCAGAATAATAGGCATATCCATCAAAGGGCAACTGGGGGCTAGGGTAAGGGTTTTGGAGGGTGATAGAAATGAGGATTTAGGACTAAAACCACTAAACTAGTACCAAAACATGATTAAAATGCTAAATTTTATGTAAAACTCCTTAATGCATTAAAAACCACAAGGATAGTTTGTTTTAATGTTGTAGCAATTGCATCTTGGCTATGAGATATTAAGTCATTTTTCTCTAGTATCAATGCAGCTGAGTATATGAAATGAGTTTTCAAATACTTTCTGGTTCTTCTCCTACCTACATTTCAGTTCTCTCCACTTTGATGCCCCAAATACAGGTCACTGAATCCAAGGCAATCTGTGGAGGGAAGAGTTGAGATGCCAGTGAGACCTGCCTCCCCAGGTGGAAATAAGAGGCCACCCCCTACCCCGGGCACCAAAGGCCACTGTTCTGTCCTCAGAACAGGTCCTTTCACGGGGCACTGGTTTTCAGTGTCACAGTGTCTGGGGCAGAGTTGTTTAACTTGCACAGAGCTATTATATAATCACCGAATCTAAAGATGATGTCGGAACCAGAATAATGGCTCTCAGAGATGCTCATGTCCCTAGGACCTGTGACTGTCACCCAAGAGAACTGTTGGGATGTGATGAGACCAAAGGTTCTTGAAGGATATAATCACAAGTGTCTTCATCTGAGAGAGGATTTGACCATAAGAGAAGATATCATGAAGGAAGCAGGGATGGTGCTGGGCACTGTGAAGTCGGGAGGGGGCCGGGACAAGGACGAATGCAGGTGGAGCTAGAGTCTGAGAAAGGCAAGGTACTGGATTCTGTCTCAACCCCCAGAAGGACTCTGCTGTGGTGATATCGGATGTAAGCCCAGTGAAGCTGATTCTGCACTCTGGTCCTCGGGCTACAAAAGAGTCCATTAAGCTGTGCTATTTTAAGCCACCAGGTTTGGGAATATTTGTTTCATGAGCAAATAGGGGACTAGTATAGACGGTACATTTTATTTTCAGTTTGTTTTAAAATACACTCCTTAAATAACAGCATCTCTGTGCTCAGACACTGCCAAATGACTAACATTTTTAGACTACTTTCAATTCCTCAATGCTGGTGGTATTACGTTTCACATGCTTCTTAGTCCTCTCTGCCCTCCACCATTGAAGTTGGAAATGGGTAAGGGATAGGGCTTAGAGCCCCCCATGTTGGGCCATGATCATTTCAAACTTAGCTTGTGATCATTTCTTAGTGGATAAATACTAATCTCAGTATGTTGCAAACCCTGGGGGAGGGAAACCAACTAATTAGAGGGAGCTGGTGCAAGTAAGAAATGTGGAGAAATATATCATAGATGAGCTGGCATTGTAAGGAACAAACAAGGTTTGTCCTGTGGGTAGGAGGCAGGAATTCCAGGCAGAGGAGGAAGCCTGAGGAATGGAAAGTGCATGGTGGCTGATTGCTAAGCAGGTGGGAGTGCTGGACTGTGCAGAAAGGGTGCAGGGACGGAAACTTCAAAAGGGGGACATTCCTTGATTCGTCCCAATATTCTGCACTGTGCCAAGTCCACGGAACTCATAATCTGGGGAGACATGTATGTAAATACCTAAATTATAACTCACTGCAACAAAATTGAGTTTGTATCAGCAGCCTGACCTTCATCCCTCCGAGGAGATGGATGCACAAGGAAGACACTGCTGAAGGGGACAGTGGGGAGCATGCAGAGTGATTTGAACATCCATGTAGGAGCTCCTGTGTGTCACTCATCTTTCCCTCTTTCCAGCATCTCTGTATTTTCCAGCATCTCTGTATTTTCCAGCTCCTTCCCTTCCCCTCAAGATATGAACACTAGTTATTAGTAACTCTCTGGACAAGTCACAGACATTTGGACACAGCATGTGTTTTCAGGTTCTATAAAGCAGTCACTGCCAGTGTCTTTCGTTCTTGTGTTTCCTGTTCACATCTTTCTTCCTAATAGCCTCCCAACCCAATTCTGGTGTCCCTGTGACCTCAGTACTGGGATGAGTCCCTGGTGAGAACTGCCACCTGACTAGCTGCTGCCTGCAGCCCTGCTTTGTTCTCTGTCTCAGTATATTTTGCCATCATGTCTTGGTAATAGAGGCTATGGATGAGACTGTAGAGCCTGTGGACTCAGTAAGATTGCTTAGAGGGACTTTTCTTTTTCATTTTGGGGTGTGTGTGTGTGTGTGTGTGTGTGTGTGTGTGTGTGCGCGTGCGCGCGCACCCATGTTTGTGACTACAAAAGCCTTAGGTTGACATCAAATGTCTTTCTGTTTTGTTTCCTTTATTACATCTCCACTTTATTTCTTGAGATAGGGTCTCTCACTGGATTGGAAATCCATTAATTGGCTAGACTAGTCAGCTAGAGAGCTCCCCCACCCCCCACTCCAGCTCTGCCACCTTATGCCAGGCCACATTGCCACACATATTCATCATTATACTCAGCATGGTACCTTTACATCTTGGGCAATGCTTTTCCTTTCCAGGAGAATTTCGGTGAGGGATCGATGTGCCAAGAGGCGCTTCATGGTGGTTTGTACCAGGAACTGGATGGCTTTGGACACATGAGCAATACTGCTCAGCAGAAGAGAGGCATTTTCCATGCGGTAGTAGCAGATGGCGTCTATCTCCATTATAAACATATCTTTGGTAACCACCTAAGGAAAAGAAAAGTTTGAATGCTGGCTAGATTCCTGGACTCCTTCCTATGTGGGTGAGGGGAACTAAATGCATTTAAAGTACCCTTTCCAGGAGTAAGACTATAGTAGGAAAAAAAAAAAACAAAAGAGTAACGGGAGGTTGATTCTTCAAAATTAGACATATGTTTTTGATGCATGAAGGTTTTATTAAGCACACTAAAGAGTCAGACCTAGTGATGCCTGCCTCTGGGAGGAAGAAAAAGATGTGGGGGTGGGGTGAGGGGAGAGTATGAACACAGTCCAGGCTCAGAAGACAAGACTTGAAAGAACTTATAATTTTGCCAGGCCGTGGTGGCTCACACCTTTAATCCCATCACTTGGGACACAGAGGCAGGTGAATCTCTGTGAGTTCAAGGCTAGCCTAGTCTATAGAGAGAGTGCAAGGACAGTCTCCAAAGGTACACGGAGAAGCCCTGTCTTGAAAAACAAAAACCAAAACCTCACAATTTAAAGGAATCTTGTTAAAAATCCCCCCTTTAAAAACAAAAACAAAAAGGAACCCAAGAATAATTTTCTTGTATGAAAAACTCTCAATTGATTTTATGTCAAGGCCTTCCTAAACTGATGCTCAGTAGGTCTCCTGGAACACAAGGTCTTTCACATACACTTACTGGAGTGACATTAGAGGGCGAGCTGGGAATTTCCATCAAAGCCCCATCTTCTCTGGTATTTTTTATGTCAACTTGACACAAGCTAAGGTCATCTGGGAAGTAGGAATCTTAATGGAGGAAATGCCTCCATAGGACTGGCCTGTAGGCAATCTGTGATTCATTTTCTTGAGAGATGATTGATATGGGAGGGCTCAGTCCATTGTAGGTGGAGCTACCTCAGGAAGGTAGTCCTGAGCAGTATAAGAAAACAGAGCAGCCAGGCGTTGGTGGTGCACACCTTTGATCTCAGCACTCGGGAGGTAGAGGCAGGTGGATCTCTGTGAGTTCGAAGCCAGCCTGGTCTACAGAGCTAGTTCCAGGACAGGCTCCAAAGCTACACAGAGAAATCCTGTCTCAAAACACAAAACAAAAACAAAACAAAAAAGAGAACAAGCTGGGAGGAACAAGCCAGCAAGCAGCACTCCTCCTCCATGGTCTCTGCTCTAGATCCTGCCTCCAAGTTCCCGCCCTGAGTTCCCACCATGGCTTCCCTCAGCTGTAACACTTTCCTTCCCAGGTTGCTTTTGGTTATCAAAGCAATAAAAACCATAACCAAGACTCCATCCGTAGACATTATCATAGGGATGTATTTAAGGAGTTAGCTATAAGAACTGCTATTCACAATACTGCTTACTGGAATTGCCAATGTGTAAACTGTTTGAATAAACTGTGGTGTATTCACATAATAAACTGTGGTATGTCCATGTGCAGTGAGAGCAATGAGCTAGTATATAAAAAGATGATTACAGTGTATTGTTGGGTAAAAAGTGAACTGGCTACAAAACAGTATAAAATATATAGGTAATTTGTAAAGGTAGTCATAAATATAGTAAAGTCTGGAAGATTATATTCCAAAACCAATGAGCATCTATGGGAAATAGTATTAAGGAGAAATATATTTACCAGTGCTTTATTGTGTTAAAAGCAAATATGTAAATCCCAGTTTTTTACTGAGCATATTCATAAAGTTGTATAACCATTCATTTCTGTAAATTCCATCTTGTAAAATGGAAATTCTGTACCTATTTAACTCCCCACCCAATTCCCTTGCTCTTAAAAGCCACTACTATACAGTCTCTATGATTCTAATGATTCTAAGCACTTCATAAAAGTAAAATCACACAGAATTCATCCTCTTGTTATGACTTACTTCATTTAGCGTAGTGTCCTCCAGGTTCATCTATGGTGTAGCACATGTCAGAATGTCCCCTTGAGTCTGTATAATGTCTCACGGTATGTATAGCTGATGCTTTGCTTATGCATTATCTGTTGCTAGTCATGTGGGCTCTGTGTTTGAGCTTCATGAACCATATGCACCAGCATTCAAACACCTCCTCTGGATTTTTTTTTCTTCTTGGTAAATTTTATTATCTAAAGTAAGCATCTTTGAAGGGAAACCATTTGTACTTACCCAAAGAAAACGAAGGGAAAGAACTTTGAAAAGGTGGGAGACTGTTTCTCTGCTAGAGAAATATGAATGTTGCCTTTACTTTGCATTTTCTAAAATTTTTAATTGTGGTAAAATAGATAACATAGACTATGCCACCTCTCGTGTACAATTTTGTCATGTTATATATTACCATTAGTATATAGCTTAGTAGTTAAAGCCACCTCTGGGATGCTTTCATTTTACAACACTGAAATCAAATGATTATTGCCCCCCACTTCCCTAGAGTCCCAGTAACCAGCATCCTGTGTGTCCCAAGGAATTGGGCTACTCTAGGAAACATAAGTTACCTAGTTACTGGATGTAGATTATAAAACTATTTGGATTTTGTGATTGACATTCCCACTTAGCACAATGTCCTCAAGCTTCATCCATGTTATGTACAGAACATATCAGAATCTCTTTCCTCCTAAAGGATGAACAGTATCTAATCATAGGACGCATACCACATTATCTACTCAGCCATCAGTGGACATCTGAGCTCTTCTAGTTAAAAGTGTTTTTTTTAAAGATTTCTCTTAATATTTAAAAATTATTATTGGATATGTATGGATATTTTTCCTGCATGTATACCACTTATGTGTAGTATCTCTGGAGGTCAGAAGTGGGTGTTAGATCCCCCAGAACTAGAGTTACAGATGGTTGTGAGCCACCATGTAAGGGCTGGTATTCGAACCTGGATTCTTTGGAAGAGTAATCAATGCTCTTTAACTGCTGAGCCACCTCTCCAACCCCTGCTTCAACTTTTAAAAGATATTTGTGTGTGTGTGTGTCTGTCTGTCTGTCTGTCTGTCTACTGTCTGTCTGTCTGCTGTCTGAGTGCAGAAGAGTGCACTGGATCACTAGGAGCTGGAGTCATGGGTAGCTCAGATGCTACAACAGAACTCTGGTCCTCTGCTAGAGTGGCAGCTGTTTTAAACTATTAAGCCATCTCCTGTCCCTACATCTTCTTATGAACATTGAGGGAAAAATATTTCTTCAAGATCCTGATTTCAATTTTTGAAACTTCTAGCTTATAGCAATACTATTTTTAAGTTTTGGAGAAGTTGCCCTATTGGATAGCTGCATCCTACAATGTTGTCTCATCTTACAGTCCACCAGCAGTGGATGAATTCTAGCTTTACTACATTCTCTTCAGTACTTGGCACTTGATACCTGTGGTGGTTTGAGTAGGTATAGCCCCCACAGATTCATGTTTGAATGTTTAGCTCATAGGGAGTGGCACTATTAGGAGGTATGGACTTTTTGGGGTAGTGTGTCACTGTGGGGGTGGCCTTCAAAACTAAAGCTATGCCCAGTATGGCACACAGTTGCTTCTGAATCCTGCGGATCAAGATGTAGAACTCTCAATTCCTTCTCCAGCACCATCTATGCCTGCATGCCACCCACCATGATGATAATGGGCCGAATCTTTGAAACTGTAAGCTAGCCCCAACAAAATGTTTTCCTTTATAAGAGTTGTCATAGTCATGGTTGTCTCTCCACAGCAATAAAACCCTGAGACAACCTTTCCCCCCTTCTGTTATATTTTTCTATATTTTTGATTGTGAGCCTAGCTTTTAGCAGCTGAACCATGTCTCCAACCTCTGACTTTATATATATATGTATGTACGTATGTACACACACACACATATATGCCTTCCTAATAGGTGTAAAATTATTTGCATGTCCCTAATGGTTAGTGAAGTTGAGCATATTTTCATTTGCTTGTTGGCCATGTGCATGTCTTCTAGTTCTTCATATATGTTCTTCAGGGAGATGTCTAATCTAGCCTGTATTAGTTTGTGCTCTTCAGAATAATAGAACCATTAGTGTGTGTAGAGCTATATCATTTTTAAATGATTAGCACATGTGATTATGGAAACTGGTAAGGCCAAAAGTTCGAGTCTGGAGACCCAGGAAGTCTTTATATTGCCTATTGGAAGAAAACTTCCTCCTCTTCAAGCCAAAGTCAGTTCTTTAAAACCTTCAACTGATTGAATGAAGCTTACTCACATGATCAAGGGTAAATTGCTTTATTAAAAGTCTACTGATTTAAATCCCAATCTAATCTGCCAAATACATGCACAATTACATCCATTTTGTTTAACTAAATGTAGGACAAATAACAGAGGTCTAGCCTACTTGACATATAAGATAAACTATTATAAATTCCTTTGTCTATTTTTTAAAGTTAGATTGTGGCTTATGTTGTTTTTGTAGACCTGAGTGAACTCTTTCTATATCCTATATATTAAACTCTTACAAATTATTTGAAAATACATTTTCCTGTTACATAGGTTACCTTTCACTCTGTTGGTTATATACTTGAATAATGATGCTTTTTCATTCTAATTTAGTCTGCAGCTCTGCTTTTCTTTCCTACCTTTGAGCATAGTTACTTTGCCTTGGGATTGAATTGGACAATAGACCATAGAAATGTCAAGAGAAAGCAAGCACAGTGTGCATCTCACCTCATGGAAAGGTATCTCCAAGGTCTGGAGACGGAGGTCAACCTTGTGGTAGGTGTCCAGGCATGGCAAAAAAAAGAACAGGCCTACAAGAAAGCATGAGGAAAGTAACAGGTGAGCAGCAAGTGTGAAGACTGCTGGGGAGTGTCTTTTCAGGGCCAGGCTGCTTTGCTCTTCTAAGCCTCCATTGCCCAGAGACCATCAGGTAGCTTCGCTGTAACTAAAGTATTGTCATATAATTCATATTCAACTGTGAGCACTTGATACATTATTAGACTAAGTTCAGTATATCACGTATAAACAGAGATTATTTAAGAAAACAAAACCACTTGCTCACTTGAGGCATCATATTGACCCTTCCAGATCTCTTACATATCTGTCTTTTCAGTAGACTCAGGCTCTGTAAGTACAGTGTCATATGCATGAATGTTAACATTAATGTGTCTTGGAGTCTTTTAGGTACTGTGTAAAATTGTTCTACTATGTGAATGTAGTGGTGCATCAGCTTAGATCTAACAACTTGTCTGTCAAATCTGAAAATATGGGCCCCGGGATCATCAGAGTAGCAATATTATGCCAGCAGATTTGTGTTGGCCAGTTAGTCCTCCTCATCCCAGACAGAATACAGATTCAATATGCATTATCTGTAGACTGGTTAATTGAAAGTTTCCTAAAGCACCTTGGATGATTTGGTACTGTGGTGGTTTGGAAATGGTCCCCATTGGCTCACATATTTTAATGCTTAGTCACCAGGGAGGGGCACTATTTGAAAAGATTAGAAGGATTAGGAGGTATGGTCTTGTTGGAGGAAGTATGTCACTGGTGGTGGACTTTGAGCTTATGAAAGTCCATGCCAGGCTCAGGATATCTCTCTCTCTCTCTCTCTCTCTCTCTCTCTCTCTCTCTCTCTCTCTCTCTCTCTCTCTCTCTCTCCCCCTATGGATCAGGATAGCTCTTAGCTACTCCAGCATCTGCCTGCATGCTGCCATGCTCTCCAGCATGACGACAATGGACTAAGCCTTTAAAACTGTTAGTAAGCTCCTTACTAAATGCTTTCTTTTATAAGGGTTGCCTTGGTCATGGTGTCTCTTCACAGCAATTGACCAGTGACTAAACAGTCACCCTTCAAACGCCACAACTTTGTGAAAACTAGTAGCAGCTCACAGTACCCAGGATGTATGGGAGAGCATCCAGCCAGTACCTTTCTCAGCGCCCAACAGGGAAGATGGTCTGTGTCCTGGGACTCTGGAGTCTGGTCCTGTTTTGTTTGGTTCTGAATCCTGGAACTCTCATTTGTATCTCCTAGACTGGTCTCCATTTTTAACTTGTTCTTGCAGGTGTGGCTCAGAACTCAGACCCTCTGAGTATATGTGTAGTGGGACTTCATTCTTTATTATGCCTTCTTGGCTGTCTCCAATCTCCAAATCCAAGCTACCAGACTTACAGACTAACCATACTTCTGGACCTCCTCTGGTATCAGGTCCTAGAGATCAGAGACCATGCCTTATTTCTCTAGTCTCTGGTAGTCAGTGCACTGTCTAAAACAAGGCAAGGCTTCAGTCTGTACCTCTTCTACCAACTAAAGACATATTTGTTACTAGATGCTTGGCTTTCATGACCCATCTGCCTCCATTCCCAATTCTGAACTGGCTCAGATTTTCTCTGAGAAGTCACAGGATTCTGACCATACACACACTGTACTCAGACCAACTTTATCTATAGGTCTGTAGTCACTTTGTTGTTCCAATGAGACTAGCCCTGGTGTGGGACTCCCTGTTGTTCTTTTGCTGCAGCTAATGCCTATAAAACACAAACACAAGACTCAGTGCCCACGTGGAGTTTATTGAGAGAGGGGAGAGAAAGGGGGTAGCTGGTGGCCAACCGAAAGCAGGAGAGAGAGAGAGAGAGAGAGAGAGAGAGAGAGAGAGAGAGAGAGAGAGAGAGAGAGAAAGCAAGAGAGAGGCCCGCTTGGTGTGCTTGCTTTAAAAGGGGGCTTGCGCATGCACATGCATAACTGAGTCCTCTGGCAGCCAGGTAAAGCTTGAAGTAGCAATGATGTGGCCATGAGCAGCGTTCCCCCCATCATCGGGCAGGGTCAGCTGGCTGCTAGTTCCTAACTCCCTGCGCTCCTCTCTCTTGGTCACCTGTGACCTATCAGTGATATTCTCCAGAGAATTTTGTGATAAGCTGCCCTATGATGAAGAGGTTGGGAATACAGGTATAGTGACTCAAATAACTTCATATAATCTAAGATATGGATTATAACTATGAATGGATTAAGGACACTATCAACAGATCATGGGATGGGATAAGAATTTAAAAATCATGGAGAGTAATTCTTACCAGGGCCTTTGGCTCTTCCAGGGAGCAGATGTCCCAGTCGGAATATAATTACTCTTTCATATTCTTGTACAACCTAAAGTGAAAAGTAATACTTTGAAGTGACTTCAAAAGAAAAAAAAAAGGATTCAAAAGACTTTTGCATGGGAAATTCTTTAGATTACAGGAATGTATTGTTAGCCAGGTGTGGTGTTAGGCAGGTGAATCTCTGTGAGTTCAAGGCCAGCCTAATCTACAGAGTAAGTTCCAAGACAGCCTGGGCTACATAGTGAGACCCTGTCTCAAACAAAATCTTTTGTTTTGAGATCTAAGAACAATGCCAGGCATGGTAAGTCAACTTAATATCTCATCAGTTGGGGGAGGCAGAGGCAGGAGGATGACCTGTGTGGTCTACATAGCATGTTCCAGGACAGCCAATGTTACATAGACCTTGTCTCAGAAGGTGGGGAGGGGGATAGGAACTGGAGAGACTACCCAAGGGGTAAAGCATTTTCTGCACAAGTGCAGTAAGGACCTGAGTTTGAATCTCTAGGACCTGTGCAGAGCTGGACATAGTGCATGTCTGTAATCCATGTTCTTCTCCAGTGAGACTGCAGGCAGAGGCAGATAAAGCCTAAGAAGCCTGTGAGGCAGCTAGCCTGATGTACACAACCAAACATCCAAAGAGACCTGTCTCAAACAGCATGGAAGGTGAGAACGCCTGAGCTTGTTTTCTGCCCTACACCTGTACACTGAGGCATGTGGTCTGCCATCATACACACACACACACACACACACACACACATACACACACACACACACACACACACACACACACACACACACACACTGGATTTCTATTAACACTGAATGTTCTAAAATCTATACACAATAAGGATAGACACCAATGAATAAGGACATTGACCATGTTAATGAAATGACTATGGTATGAAACAATTGTATGCCAACAAATTAGCTTAGAGAGATTACCCAAACTGACTCAAAAAGATGAAAAACTGAAAACATAAATATACAAATACTAAATTATTTTAAACTCCCTACAATGTAGAAATCCTTGTACACTGCTGCCAGGAATGTAAATTGGTCCACTCACTATGGAAAACAGTGTGAGTATTCTTCAATAAAATTATCACCAGCAACTCTGTATCAGAGAATATAAACAAAGAAGTCAGTTTGGTTTTTTTGTTTTGTTTTGTTTTGAGGCAGGGTCTCACTATGTAGTCCTGGCTGGTCTGGAATTTGAGATATAGACCAGTGTGGCCTTGAACTCATAGAGATCCTCCTGCCCCTGCCTCCTGACAGCTGGGATGGAAGTCAGTGTCTCAAAGAGATGCACAGTTACTCATTCATTGCAGTATTATCACAACAGCCCAGATAATGAATCGACCTGCTCATCAACAGATGGCTTTTAAATACACACACACACACACACACACACACACACACACACACACCACCACCACCACCACCAACAACAACAACAAAAGACACAGTGGGAGCACACACAGGGAGATGTTATTTACCGCTAGAGAAAAAGAAGAGGGCATTTTGTTACTTGAAATGAGCCAGGCAATGACAGACATTTCACATTTTCACTTTTATGTGGAAGCAGAGAGTATGTGATGGTGGCTGTTGTCAGAAGCTGGGGATGGGGGAGATTGGCGATCTGGGCAAGGGGTAAAGGTTCTGCTATAAAGGATGCAGGCATCCTGGGATCTAGTGTATAGTATGGTGACTCTATTGTATTTGTGTAGTGTAATACCATATTTGAAATTTACTGAGAGAGTCAATTAGTCTGAAGTGTTTTCTTTACACTTAACTGAAAGGGATGCCCATCTTAGTGTGATGGTGGTAATATTTTCAGGTATATATGATTATCAAAACATCACACTGTGACTGGGGATATGTGTTGGTGGTAGAGTACTTTCCTAGCATACCTACAGGCCTGGATTTGATTCCTAATGGCTATCAAGTTTTCACAAATTCTTCCAAAAAACAGAACATTGAGGAAAATCCCAATATATCAACTGAGGCTGATATTACTATGATCCATGAAGATGAACCACATACCACAAAAATCCTATACTGCCATTTATCTTATGAATATAGATGCAAAAAAAATCCCAAACAAATGACCAGTAGTCTAAATCCAGTAACATTTAGAAAGATTTTACATTATGACCAAGTGGTGTGTGTGTGTGTGTGTGTGTGTATGTGTGTGTGTTGTGTGTGTGTGTGTGTGTGTGTGTGTGTGTGTGTATGTGTATGAATAAGTATGACTGTGGAGGTCAGAGGACAATGGACAACCTTGGCTATTGTTTTTTTTTTTTTTATCATCATTCATTTTCCTTTTGATAGAGTCGCTCATTAGTGTGGAGCTCACCAAGCTAGGCTAGTCGGCTGGTGAGCCCCAGAGACTGACCTGTCTTTACCTCAGGTGCTGGCTAATTTCATATCAATTTGACATGAGCCAGAATCATTGGACAAGAGGAAACTTCAACTGAAAAAATGCCTTTACCATATTGGCCTGTGGCACATTTTCTTGATTGATAACGATGTGAGAGGGGCCAGCTCACCATGGGCAGTGACATCCCTGGCCCCCATCCTTGGCCTGATGGTCTTGGGTGCTATAAAAAAGCAGGCTGAGCAAGCCATGAGGAGCAAGCCAGTAAGCAGCATCCCTCCATGGCCTCTGCATCAGCTCCTGCCTCCAGATTCCTACTAGCCTTCAAAGATGAACTGTGATATGGAAGCCTAACTGAGATTAACTCCTTTCCTTACAACTTGCTTTTGGTCATGGTGTTTCATCACAGCAATAGAAAACCTAACTTAGACAACTTCCTCGTGCTAAATAGAATTACAAGTATGCACTACAGTGCCTAGTTTTGTTTGTTTTGTTGTTGTTTCCAGACAGGGTTTCTTTGTGTAGCCCTGGTTGCCTTGGAGCGTGCTCTGTAGACCAGGCTGGCCTTGAACTCATAGTGATCTACCTGCCTCTGCTTCCCAAGTGCTGGAATTAAAGGCCTGTGCCACCACCCAGGGCTGTTTGTTTGTTTGTTTGTTTGTTTTTATGTGGGTACTGTGGATCAATATCAGGTCTGAAGCAGGCACTTTACCAACTGAACTATCACCATAGCCCCCAAGTTGGATTTTTAACATCCTAGAGTGAACAAACAATATATCCTATCAGTAGAGAATAAAGACTAGATACCATGTGAAAAACAGATGCAGAAAACAAACAATAAACAAACCAATGGGATACCGTGCAATGCAGTCTAGTGGGAGGAGTGGGAGAAGGGGTTGGGAAGCCACTGTGTGCTTCGAGGAGCAGGACCAACACCAGCACTAACTGCATCTGTAGTGCCCAACCGCAGTGCCACTCTTCCCTGGCAGCTCCAGACAGTGAAGAAAAATGAATGCCAGGAGTGCTGGGCCCAACCATTTCTGCCCACCATGAAACAAACTTTGCTTTGGGATTCCCTTTCAAGTGGGCTGTGGCTATTTTAGAGCCACACACAGACTACTGTTCTTTCTGTCCAATTCTCCCACTTCTTGTGTTACCTGCTACCCCCCCTTTGGTTTTTGTGACAGCTCTGGCTGTACTGGAACTCACTTTATAGGCCTCGAACCCACAGAATCCACCTGTCTTCCTCGGCCTTTTCTGATTCTCTCTCCTCTGAGTGCCTCTTTTATCTCAGTATGCACTTCCTGAGCTACTCAGGTCTTCGTTTACTTCTGGGGACCAAAGATAATTAATTGTCTCTCCTGGTCTGTAGAAGTTGCCTGAGACATTCCCCTATACTGTCAAAGTGAACGATCCGTTCTAGGATACTCTTCGTGTCACCGAGCATAGATGAACTAGATATAGCATCTGTAGAGTCTCTGAGGCTAACAGGGATATCTATCAATATATCTATCTGTCATCTATCATCTATCTATGCCATCATTTTACACACACACACACACACACACACACACACGCACGCACGCACGCACGCACGCACGCACGCACGCACGATTTGCTAAAGTATTGTTCTAGCCATGACATAAGACCTATAGGTTGGGGGAATGAAAGAAGCTTCATGTTTACATTGAGCAGGTAGGTTTAGACTGGAAGATAGGAGAGTAGCCTAGCATGGTCTATGCAAGACAACAGAAAATCACCTGTGGATCCACGTAGACACTCACCTTTATGCAGAACCAGATGGAGAAAGGGAAAGTTATGATGATGAAGAGCAGTGAGGAGAGCACAAGCAGCCACTCACAGGCCCCTAACCCAGAGGACTTGATCCCTAGGAAGACGATAATATTGAGACGTCACCATGTTTACTGAGCAGTGTCTGCCAGTCTGGTGCTAAGCACTGGAGTCAGAAGGGTTTGGAGACATGTCTGTAAAATTTGGTATGAGCCAGGGATCAGAATAATCAAAGTTCCCAGGTCTGGGGTTGTCTGTGTGGGCCCATGGGAAGTGGAGTAAACTTCTGGACAGGCAGGGGGAACTGGGGTACCAGGAGGTGGTGTGTGGCGGCGGGGGGGTTGGTTCCACCATTTCATGTCACTGATGACTTTTAAGCAGGGCACAGGACCTCTTTAAAACCCAATTTCCTCGACTACATATGGGATATTGACTAATTACTATCCAATAATATCTAGCTCATGAGCTATATCGGATATATCTGATGCAAGGGTGAAATGGCATACACATACCAGTTCACGCCTGGCATGTCTCAGGCTTTACTGTGTGAAATGTCTACAGATTCCTGGCACTGCCTGCCTTCATGTCTGAAATTCTTTCATTGGGGTCCATTTACTGGAGTAAGGGTTCCTCGGTCTTTGGAAATCACCTATTCGGCATAATGTTAGTTTGTGTCTGTAAAAAGGTTGTATGCAGCTGGGGTGTTCCTCATCCATGGTGCTTTGACTCAACACCAAAGGCTCTCGGAGACTGGGCTTTCAGGGCTGGGCTGTGACAGGTGCCCCACTGTCTGGAATGGGAACTTGATCTTCTGCCTTTCCAGCATTACCCAGACCATCATGTAAGCCAACCCCTACACACACCTCTGTTGATTCTGGAAAGTTCTGCCCAACACAAGCAAGCTATTTAATTTCTCTGAGCATTTCCCCTCATCTGTGATGGTGTGCCACTAAACAATCCAAAACCCAAACGCCCAGGGTGTGCCTGCCCCATGGAAAGGACCCCACAAATGGGCTGCCTCCCTTGCCTATCTCCCTGCTGTGATCTGTCACTTGCATTCTTATAGCACTGAACCCAACAACTTCTCCTAAGGACCAGAGCATTATCAGTTAGGTAAAAAGTGTGAGCATTGTCCATTTGGACTATACCCCCGCTGCATGAGGCTTCCACAAATAGTAGCTTTCTATGGTTCAGCATTTATTGTGTTGCTGGTAAAGAAAGGTTAAATCTCCACAGAGCCAGCAGACAGCAATGTGGCCTGCCGCTTCTTTCTTTCGTCAAACATCTGCTAGCCTTTAATTTGAGCATAATGATGTTTTTCCTTACATTTGCTACGAAAAGGGCTGGAAGTAGATAATTTCTCCCTAAGAGTTGTGGCACCCACGGAAGTGAAAGAGACACTTTTCTTTGCATCTTCCCCAGTGGCATGGTGGTGTTCTCTATTTAGTTTGCAAGGATTTAGCTAACATTGTGCAAGGTGCATTGGAAGGTGCATTTTATCCTCACATCTACCCTAGGAGCATACACTGTGGTCAGATGGCCAATAGTGAAGGCTGTTTCTGTGGTCACACTGCTAGCAAGTGGCTAAGCTGAAATTTAATTTCAGATCTGGCTCTTTGACTGGGCTCTGTTGCCTTTGCATTTTAGGGAGTGGGTTGGGGGAGGCCATTCCAAAGAAAGGCTAACATACTCCTGGGTAAGACTGATGGGCGAGGAAGAGAGAAGAGGCACACGGTTGTTGTTCAGAGCCACCACACTGCGCCAACAGGCCCTTTCCATGACCACAAAAGCCATCAGTGTGGTTCCTTTGCATGTTGACTGGGCCCATCCTGAACTACTCTCTCTTCCAACTTCCATCTCTTTGGAGAAAGGGACCAACTTATTAGCTTATGTTGCTATTTGTATTTCCTCTGATGCACTTCGGTCTCACCACTCAGTAACCGCCTTAACTGTGTCTATCAAGCTTTGTCACAGTGGGGCAACTTACTCCTCTTGTCTGACATCTCTCACCTGCCCTCCATACCTTCCTCTGGTCGCTCACTCTCCAGCAGCGCCACCACTTCGGTTCCCTCTTCACCGGAGCCCCGAACGTCATCTACATCCACTACTGTGGCCTTGGCGGTGGTGGTGGTGGTGGTGGCAGCGGTGGCGGCAGGGGATCGGGGCTCTCCCCCTATCCGGGTCCGCCCCGCACCCCGCCGCTCCGACCCAGCATCCGGGCGCGTGCGCCCTCCGCTGCCCCTCCCGGCCTTCGCTCTCTTGTCCTCCCTAGAAGAGGACCTGCCACCTCGCCCGTGGGCCTCTCTGGAAGAGCTTCGGGCCCTGCTGTCCATTCTCAGAGCGCCCCAGGGCCAGGTGCGGGCAGAGTGGCAGCCTCAGCTTTCTGAGCGGCTGGGGAGAGACCTAAGACCCTAAATAGGACCGTGCGGTCCGGAGGGAGGGGCAAGGGGCGGGGCCTGTGTGGCCATCCCCACACACACACACACACTAAACCCAACTTCTGTTCCTTGGAGGGTCTGGACAGAGACCGCAGACCCCCAAGATGACTTAGGGCCGGATGCTCAGAGGACCTGGGTGGGAGAACCCGGGTGCCACCGCGCCTGGTGGCTTCGAAGATAGTTCTGCTTTGCTGGTTAACAGTGGTGTGAAATAGAATAGGTGGTACTAGGGCTCTGCTTTAATTTCTGTGTTTAGAAAGGTTCCATTTTCTCTCCCAGGTCCTGTTTCTTGAAGGCTGGAGTTCAAAGTTCAGTGGCCAAACTGCTTCCAGTAGCAAACCCAGGAGCTGTCTCACCCTTTTCTGGGGAATAGATTTCTTTGTATTTCACTGTTTCTATCCGAAACAGAAGTGTGTCTATATAACTTTAAAGGCAAAGTTCACAATTCTACTCCAATAGGATTAGCTCGTGTTGGTAGAAATATTTAGTTTTCAATATTGTTTCCACACATATCTTCTTTTCCTATCAAAAGCTTTATAGAAAGCTTTAGTAACTGGGTGGTAGTGGCGCACACTTTTAATTCTAGCACTTGGGAGGCAGAGGCAGGCGAATCTCCAAGTTCGAGGCCAGCCTGGTCTATAGAGTGTGTTTCCAGGACAGCCAGGGCTATACAGAGAAGTCCTGTCCTGAAAAAAAAAAAAAAAAAAAAAAAAAACAAAATAAATAAAGAAAAAAAACTCCAGTAATCAGAACCTGAAATTAATTGACCCCGAAAACTATTGTTTTCTTTCATGAGTTTCAAATAGCCATGAAAATACAATATTTAGTAACCAAGAGACTTGAAATTAAATAAAACTTTGACTCTATAATTTGTAAAATATTTTAAAAATTATTCTGTGTACGAGTGTTTTGCCTGCAAATATGTCTGTGTACTTTGGGCATGCATGCCTGGTGCCCGTAAAGGCCAGAAAAGGGCATTAGATCTCCTGGGACAGAAGTTATGGACAGCTGTGAACTGCCATGTGGATGCTGGGAACCAAGCCTGGATCCCCTGGAACAGCAGCCATGCTTTTAACTGCGCAGACACCTACCCAGCCCTTGACACTGATTCTTGGGTAAGCAGCTTCAGAGGGCAGATATTTCAAAGGTCTGGCTCAATGAATACTTCCTGTCTAGAACAGCACACTGAGAAGTTCTGAAGCTCCCTTGGATTCACAAAGAGAAAAGCACTATGATTTTCATATCCATGTGTAAGGCAATGTACCCACTTGCTTATGACTTGGTTGGGTTTAGATAATGAAAACATGTATGATGGACCCTGATAAAAACGACCAGCTTAGCATTCTGGAAGGTGGAGGAGTTGGGGAGCACTGTGCAGAGTCAGCAGTGAGTGCTGCTGGTCAGCCTCCTCTGCCATTTATAATGATGCTAATGTTTTCCTTCAGATTCCTTTTTAATTGAAAATGCTGCTCATATCTTTGTTGAAACTATTCTATGTAATAATAAGCTTTTAATACTTCACATTCCTTTGTTGAGACTGACGTCTATAGGAATAGGGCAGCTAGGAGGAGGAGGAAAGACCGTAAGATGTACTTATTTCCATTTAGTGCCTTCAAATTTGATATCCAGAAGAGAAACCTACAGGAACAGCTAACCTGACCTAGTGAGAGCACACGGACCCAGTTTCTCAGTTGTAAGTTGGGAAACCAGCATTGGATTAAACCAGATCCTCTGAATGTGGGTGACTGTTAGCAGGCATGGACAATCTATGGGGCAGAACCAGTATTTATCCCTAATGTACAAATGGACATTGGGAGCCCATTCCCTATGGAGGGATACTATTTCAGCCCAGTTACAGGCCCTCCCTCAAATGATGTAACAGATTTTGATGATCCCCCATGGAAGGCCTCACTATCCTTGGAAAGTTGGTGGGGGTGAGGTGGGGGGGGCATGGAAGGGAAAGGGAATGGGGGATTGATATATAAAACAAGATTGTTTCTAAATAAATAAAACAAAACAAATTCCCAGAAAACAATCACCAGGTTTAACAGGACAAATCTGTGGACCTTGAAGGAACTGTCAAGCTGTTTTCTGGAAGGACTGAACCACCAACTATTCAAGTCAGTGGATTTGAAAAAAAAGAAAAAGAAAAGAAGTTGTGGACATATATCTATACAGATTATTTCATGGAGCATAAACAGAATGTATTGTCATTAGCTATAAAGATGTGGTAATTTTTTTTCTCAATTTTCAGATGTCAGATGGACAACTGCGGGAGAACAGCAGTGTGTCAGGAAATAATGCTGATGAAAGGCTTGATCCAAGGCTTTGGGATGGGGATGGTATGGATTTAGGAAATATTTCCGATGAAAGAGAATCAGATGATTTTCCGAATCTATATGTAAACTGATTTAAGCACCTGGCAATCTCTTGAGACTGTGGAACTTGATAAAGGACTTGAGAGGAAACTTAGTAAGCTAGGCAGCTTTTTTGAGACAGGGTTTCTCTGTTCAGCCCTGGCTGTCTTGAACTCACTCTGTAGACCAAGTTGGTCTCGAGCTCAGAGTTCCTCTTTGTTATAATTTAAAAAAAAAAAAAAAAAAAAAGTCTGGAAGGCGTGACACCATACAACAGGGCTCATGTGTAGGGTTTCTTTATTGGAGGAAGGGAAAGGGAAGTGGAGGGGGGTGAAAGGAGAAAGAGAGAGGAGAGGAAGAGAGAAGGGTAAAGAGAGAGGTGATAGGCCCCATCTCTTTAAGGGGAGCAAAACGCATGTGCACGCAGGAGACCAAGTAGTCAGGACCCTGAGCAGGCCAGAGTAGTGCCTGAGTACTGGCAAGAGCATGCGTGTTTTCTGCCAGGCTAGTGTGGGTGCCTGATAACACTCCTGCCTCTGCCTCCCGAGTGCTGAGATTTAAAAGTGTGCACCACCACTGCTCGGCACAGTTAGTCATAAATTTAGTTTTTCTGGCAGACCCACCTTCTAGAAGACAGTGTGCTAAATCACTACTGGAGCCAGGATCCTCTGAAACAGTGCAGGTGGGTTAGAGCCTGGGGTTCTGCGCTTTTAACGTGTTCCTTAGTGAGCAAAAGGCAGAATGCTTTTGTTTAATAAGTGGTGAATGGCGGAAGAAAAGGTAGAAAAAAATACAAATGTGGACTATTCAAGGATTTGGCTATGAAGGAGAAGCAAGAAAGGGATGTAGGTCAAGGGAAAGCCCCCCCCCCACCGGCTTGTTCTCCCTCTGTGTAAGATAAAAAGAATCAGAACATAATTTTATGTTGTGGGAGTCTATAAGGAGATAGAACTGTATAATGATAGCCAAAGAATAAAGTTGTGGTCTAACATCTATGGGAATAGAATGAAGAAGAAGGGATCACACACACACACACACACACACACACACACACACACACACACACACCCGAAGATGTGGGGAGGCTAATGCAGAGCTGAGGTGGTTTATATATGAAAACTTACATTTTTAATGGGGCTAGAGTATCGTTGTCTTCCAATGGTGGGGTAATAGTGATAACATGTCTTAAGATGGATGTCAAAAGCTTAGAGTAATTTCTATGACAACAGACTTGAACTAGGTATCAAATGGCCCAAACTGGGCTTTAACGTTCAGAAGCTTGGGAGATGGGAATAACGGTTGATCTTCTAAATCACCATTCCTTCACTATGCTCTTGAAATGTTTCTCTAAGGCTGAGATTGTAGCTTGCCCATGCTTGCCCAGCATGCACAAAGGCACTGGGTACAATTACCAACCCTGTCAAAAAGCTCCCCTTTTTCTGACTTTCCTAAGGCAAGAATGCTTGTAGAAACAGCTGCAATTGAAATTCACTCCTAGATTGGAAGCAGTGCTGGGAGGAGACCAGGCCGAGGCAGTTAATTACCAGACAACAAATAGGCTATTGGTCTTCTTAACAGACAGAGAGGGAAAGCAGAGAACTGACCTACATAGTACTCTGGTGCTAGTTAAATGTGGGGCCTGAGGAATGAACTCACACACTCATTTATACTGTGTGTGTGGGGGCAACAAAAACAAACTGGCAAGACACAGGCTTTATGGTTTAAGAATAGACACCTTCTATAAAGACAAGACTTATTACCCTATTTCGAGTACTAGTTCCAGATTCCAAATCCACAGCCTTTAAAATCAATTCCTCCAATATTGAAACATTCCAGCCTGCAGGAAAGCTCTTTAGATAGGAAGGGAAACAACGCATATAGCTTCAAGGAGTCTCTAAGACTGACTAGATTCATCAGGCCGCCCTCTCTGCTAGAATAAGCAATAAGAGTGGAGAGTCCCTCTGTGATCTTACTAAGCCCAGCTGCCTGGAAGAAGCAGAAATCAGTAGAGCTGACTATAAGACATTTATTTAGACCAGCTGAGCCACTTGGAAATGACTTGAGAGGACCACATTGAGCCACCTGCAGGCTATGTAGTATGTTTCAGGTCCCTAGCTTTCGAGATGCATCCATCTTTTCAATCATTTCTGCTCCTGCAAGTGACCCCTCGCCCATATTCCTGTAAGAAACCCCAATAAAAATCATTGGTTCACCAAGCTGGACTTTGGTGGTGCTTGTACTTTGGTCTGTTGTGGGTTTCCTATCTGGGATGAGTAGATGTGTGTTACACCTCCCAGGAAAAGTTTTGTTACACAACAATGTCAAACATTTAGGCTTTCCTTAGAGATCTTGAGAGCTCTTATGGATAGCTATTCTAGAGAAAAGAAAATACTCACTTTGCTGTGGCCACCATTTGCCAATTCCAAAATTCATTTTTGCATTCATTGTATGCTATCACTATTTTAATTATATGGCCTAGGAGATAGCATTTTGGTCCAGGTTCACCTTCACATAGGAATAGTGGGACTGAATTTATCA